ATACTTCTCTATAAAATGCTATATTAAATAATTAACAGCCTTTCTATCCTTATTCCTATATGCGATAATCATATCGTTAACGTAAAAAAAAACTAGCACTTTTTTTTTAATAAATACGCAGGGCTTATATAATATCTAGGTATAACCGATCTCGGCTAAAATTTTTATAAATTCTTTTTGCTATAACAGCGGTAATATCCGTAATTTATAAAATGCTTTATTTAATAACAATATAGCGTTTTTTTTTTAATATCCATCCGGCATCTTTATAAATATATCTTAATTAATAAAAGCGTATATAAACGCGTTCACTACGTTATATTATATTAATTTAAAATCGAATTTCGCTACGATCGCGATTAAGGTGCGAAATAATCTTTTAACCAATATAGCCGCGTAGGTTTCCTAGTTTTAAAACTTCGCCTATTAATTACCGCGAACGACGAATTTTGCTTTATACTTCTAAAATCTCCCGTGCTTATCGAATTTATATACGTATACCTATATATAATTAAAAATCTATTTGCCTTTTATTCATAAATCTTTCCTATTAATCTCGGTCTAAAATCGTATATTTTTATAACTCTATAAATAATTAGCTTTTGCTTAAAAAAATAATCTGCCAAACGGATAATAATGCAACTTATAGTACCATTTAAAGGGAGCTAGGATTTCCGCTTTATGAATTTTCACCCTTTAACGAAAAAAGCGTTTTAGCTTCGCCCTATCATCTTAATTATTGCCTTATCCTGCTTTAGGAACGGCTTTATAACCAATTAAAAAAACTGCTTATTATAGGACTATTTTAGGTCCTTTTTTTAATAGCGCCGTATTTTTAATCGTAATCGCCTTTATGCTATATGTTAATAAAGCTAATAAAAGTATTTATAATAGAGTCCAAAAGGCAAATTTCGCTATAATAAAAGGGTATTATTTATCCTTTCTATTTAGCGTTATTTTTTTACTTTTTTAATTATTACTTTTTTTTTAATTATCTTAATTATTACCTAATAGGATGTTTTTTGCGGCGGTATTTTTACTTTTTGGTTCTTATAGGATCTCGTCCTTAAATATTACGTGGTTAGTTACGAAGTCGGCGATAAGCTAGGTATTAGCATTTAGGAGCTCGTTTTTAAATATATCCCACTTTCTATCGCATAATTCCTTTTCGTTTATAATTATATCTTTCGTATTAATTAATTTATTTTAATTAGGAATTTAGATTTTATAAATATTAGATAACTTATATCCAATTAAGTATCCTACCTATGCCTTAAGTATTAATCGCTATAAACGGCCGAATTTTTATTATGCCGTTAGCGTTATTGCGTATGCTTTATATCCGAATGCTTTAAAATAGGTTTAATTAGGCTTATAGCTTAGATTTAGAACTCCTTTTGCTTTCGCAACTGCTTTATAGAATTTTATATATAATATGCGCTATCGGGAACTATAATTCGGCGTGTGATTATATAAGTATACCGCGGTTTTGCCGATTTCGGGCCAGAGTTAGTAAAGGAGTCTTGCGCCAATGCGCATTGCCTATTCCTTCTTTTTAATTATACCCTTTAAGCGTTTAATAGCTTTATTTTAGGCTTATATATATAATGCTAAAGGCTCGAATTTAATATATTTGTTTTCGAGGTATTTTCTTATTACCTATTTAACTTTTATAATCTCGTTATCGTATTCGATAACTTTAATTTTAATATTATATTAGGTTTCCATTATGCCTAGGAACGATCGGAAAGCGTTAATTAATATAATCGCAATCCTTTCCGTAAAATAGTAATCCTATATATATCCCGTTTGCCAATAAATAATTAGCATTTAAAATATATAGTTTTCGATCCCTTTGGTATAATTATAAAAATCTATAGCTAATCGTTCGTTATAATTTTCGTTAATTAGCCGTGGCGCTCGCCGTGGTTAGCGCGTAATCTTTATAAATGCGCAGGCTTTATATTTTATTATAATTGGTCTTTTAATTTTTACCCCCTAAAATAAATAGATAAGGTGTTCGAAAGCTGCCGGGCTTAGATGTCTTATTTTATAGTGCTATTATATAGCTTCCTTAGTTAATAATGGCCTTTTTATTTATATTATATATTTTTTCCGGTAAATAGTAAATAACGCTAAAAATAATTCGTAAAATCTGTATTCGAAAACGTATTATCCGTATTAGTTTTAGAGTATGCTAATTAAAAATCTATTTTTTTTGCGTAATATTATAGGGTCGTTTCTATTATCCTAGTAATATCCTTATTTTTATAATTAACGGAGTAATATTAGTATAATTAGCAATTTAGGATAATAGGCTATATTATTTAATAGTAGTATTTTGGATCCGAGCTATATAATTATTATGCCGTATCCGTAAATAGGTAATTTCCGGTCGCCTAATTAAATAAAGTCGTAATTAGGAGCTTGCTTATAGTTAATAAGCTTTGCTTTTATATTTATAATTAAAATCGTTATCGCTAAATCTAGGATAATTAAATGGCGCAAAAGGTAATCTTTTATAAATGCTATAAAACTGCTTTATACGTTTACTATTAATCGTTTGTTTTATTAATTTATATTAATCGGGAGCGACTTTTCTTTGGTTATTCGTAATATGCTAATTCGGCTGGTTCTAATTTTTTTTATATTGCGAACCTATTCCTATAGGTTAAGGTCTTTTTTAAGGGCTTTATTTACTCGTGTTTATACTTTATCTTTAGGGACGAAACCTAGATAGGCTTTTTTTGGGAATACGTAAAAACACAAATTAAGGGCGTAAAAAAGGTAGCAAGCAGGGCATCTAGTATTTTTTTGCCTTTTATTATAGGTAATTCGTCCACCCCTTCCTTTACGTAAACTAGCCGCATTTAATCGGGGAGGCATTTGATTTTTAACGGGGTAAGCGTCTTTATTTTATCCGTTTTAGGGCTATTTTTCAGCTTTATTAGCGTAAATTGCGAAAGCGCTTTTCCCAATTTTTGGCTTAATCGGCTATTAGATGCTTAAGCCCTTATAAAAATCGTTATTTATTACCCGATATTCCAAATTTTTATTTAAAATGCTTTATTTTTTGTAAATTTAATAAAAGGCGGCCTATTATAGCATAATTAAGGTAATTACATTTAGGAAGTCTATAGCCTAAGCCGAATTATCCTATGCTTTAATTATTTGCTTTGCCTGGGCTTTCGCTATAACCATTTCCTATTTATTAACCTAATTAGCAGCTTTTTTTAATATTTTCGGAGGCTTAAAAGCTTTTAAATATTATTTCTTTGTTTCTCTTTTGTTATTTATAGCCAATTTACCATAGCGAGCCCTTAAATTCTCGTATTATTTATGCAAAGGCTCGTTAATCAAATAGCACGTGGAGAAAAAGTCTGGAGAAATCGTTATAATCATCCATTTCGTAATCTCCTTAATTACCGTATATTATTTAGCGTATATAGCCTCCCTTATTTTGTAATAATTATAATCGAGGTTAAACAACTTCTAACCTTTTTTAGTAAGATCCGTAATCGTCCATTCCCCGTCCTCTTTATCTTATATAATCGGATCGTCGTTTGCATTTGCAGCTTCGAAGGTAGCAGCCGCGGTCTTTGTGTATTTAGTTTTTTTTATATCCGGTTCGACTAGGGTTTTGATTAAAGTCGTTTTGTTTTTAAGGTGATTAGTTAATCTGGTAATTTGTGCCTGGATCTAGAACGCATATTCCCAATTATTCCAGTCGGAGGTTGTTTTTAACGATGCCGTTAGGCCGATTCCGGCTTCCTTTATAGTCATTATTTTCGTAGCTTCGGCGGAGGCATTAAGACTTTTAATTATTAATTAAGGTGGTGCTTTCCTATTAGAGTTTAAACTAATTTAATATAGGTGTTAATTGTATAATGTATTAATCTATATTCTGCGCCTTTTAGTTTTGATAAGGTGTACGCTTATTTGGGTGGCCCCGGCTAATCCCCGGGAGGTCCCGTATATTTATCTAAACACTATGGGGTTGATCCGTGTGCTCAAGCACACCCCAGTGTATGGGAACCATAATCCACCATCTGACAATTCGGCTATCCACCCTACCAACCCGAGACGATCCGAGGGTTGTGCGACAGTACTGTAAAACCCATCTCAACCTTAGCCTCACACTTCACCCTCTGCCCTCCTTCCAAATACTTTCTGTACCCTCCATTGACCTGCTGCCACCAGCTCGTCTGGCTTGACCCGGTGCAACCCGTGGTGATTTGTAGGGGGTTCGGTATCTTAGTGGTCTTGTTTCGGTACTGTTGATTTTTTTTCTTGAGCTTCGCCGGAATTTAACATATGGCCTTGGGGAAACGGCGGCTGGCTTTGTCATGTCCCACTCTCATCACCATGAAAGCAGGTTATGGGTGTACTTTGGTGGTCGGTTTTGGTGGTCAAAAGATGATGTATTGGGCTAAGTGTATTCTATCGGGGCTACACCCCACTAAAAGCCTTAATGGCCCTTATGGCCCAACCCACGATAACAAGGGGGTGGGTTTTTTGGCCGGGCTACACAATTCAATATACTGCATGTCCCCATGGGTGCAGCTCCTACCAGTCAATTCATCGGGTTACGCGGTACGTACAAGGTGCATCACGGTATTTGGCCATACAGAGTACCTCTCCCAACAGGATAAACATGCAGAGCTGCCCTTTTAGATTACAGACCCACCCACCCACGTCTGATCAAGTCATGCACTGCAACTGTGGCTTGCTCAGCACCAATCCAGTCCGCCAGTGCGCAGCAGTTGATCTGTAGGTACTTATTCTGCTATTGCAGACCACAGCCGCACAATCTGTAATTGGTAGAATCTGCCCGAAATTCCGGTGTCAGCCCAGTCTCTGCTGGTATCAACAGGCGGGCACGGCGGGGTTGAAGTAGGCTTTGGTCTGATCGATATTCTCTCAATCGTCCTACACCCTTTGTACAAAGTGTATATCGACTCTCGAACGCTTTATTCCTTATTGTGATGTCAATATAGACCATGAATGAAATGAGCATGCTCGGCTTTTCGATTATGTTCACCGGCTGTGTTGTGCTGCTCGGTTTCGTCTTCCTACTACGGATCATCGCGTCGAAGATCCAACGCCGCGATCAAGACCCAACGCGTGTTGATGCCGAGCTCAAGTCTATTGTGGATCAAAAAAATGGCAAGTTCCAGTAAGAAGATACCGCAGAAGCGCCCTCAACATCCGATATCGAAGCTGAATTGCTTAGAATTGTTGCCGTTCATGGTTTAGGTGCGCACTATGAGCACACATGGATCCGCAAAGTCAAGGAGGCTGGCAGCGAGAAAGACGTTCATCTTTTGAGGGATCTGCTACCTACTACTTTCCCTACAGCCGTCATTCGTAACTTTAAGTACAATTGTGATTGGCTTGTAAATGCGCCTGTCCAGACGTCTGAAGACATTGGCCGTAGGTTGCTCGACCTTCTTGAGGATCACAAAGAAAAGAAGGTACCTAGTTACAAACTCGATGCTACAGTCATCCCCAACACTGATCCGTGAACTCAGGACCTACCGATCATCTTCATCGGTCACAGTTTCGGTGGCATCGTCATAAAACAGGTGCGTGGCTCTATCTGCGAGCATCAGATGGCTGACACTGTATATAGGCTTTGTGCATTGCACAACATCGTGGCCAAGATACCCTAAAGAATACATGCGGTATATTTTTTCTCGGAACACCTCATCTAGGGTCATCGACCTCCATTTTTGGATACTACATGGCACGCATGACTAGCCTTCTTGGCTCAGATACTCGTCTCTTACTGTCACTAGAGAAGCACTCTGAGCACCTCGCGGACCTTATGGAACGATGCCAGTTCTTACAACCATCCGAAAGAACTCAAAGCTTACCAATAACTGCTCTATACGAACAACTGCCTACATACATTTTGGGATGCGTCTCCATCGGCAGGGTAAGTGTGCCCCAACCCATTGTGTACTTTGACTGAACATGATCGCAAGATTGTTGATAAAGGCTCCGCCATCTGCCAAGCGACCAAGTCGAGGGGTGTCGCCACGAATCATTCAGGACTCAACAAGTGCTACGGGTTTGACGATCCATTATATAAAAGGATCAAGGCCGAGATCGAAGCCATGCGGCAGCCCTCCAATTTGGAGAAAGCGGACGAACAAATCATCAGGAATTACAAAGGGGAAGACCGCCTGAAGATCATAAGACTCTCTTCTCACACCCTGAACATGAGCAATTGCTACGTCAATCTTTCTATTGTACTGCCTAAACAGCAGAACAAGCTACCTGAGAATATTTCCAGACAAAATGAGCTCGATACTTCACTTTTATCAAGACTCAATATTCCCGAATCTAGTGGTGATTCTCAGATCAGCCTCAGCCAGTTGTTTGAGCCGCGCAAATTGCGAAATGGCGGTACGGCGAGACCGCAGCGGATCCTGATTCGAGGCGTTCCCGGCGTTGGAAAAACGACCTTGTGCAAAAAGATCGTTTATGATTTCGTAAACCATCAACAATGGCACGATCATTTCGATCGGCTCCTTTGGATTCCACTGCGAAAATTGTCGACCTATCAGAAAAATTTCGACCTGCAAACACTCTTCTCCGATGAGTACGACTCTTTCATACAAGACCCACATGAGAAACACGACCCATCAATCTGGGCAGCCCTGTGCAAACACATAGCAGGCGATGGTTCTTCTAGAACACTCTTCCTTCTTGATGGGTTAGATGAGATTCAACCCCTTGTTTCTTCTACTGATAGTGGTGACGGTCTTCATCAGTTCCTCGAGCTTCTGTTAAATGAACCCAATGCCATCGTTACATCTCGACCATCAGTCAATCTCGCTGACTACCAAAGATTCGATGTCGAACTGGAGACTGTTGGGTTTCACAAACCACAGGTTGAGCAGTATGTGAAGGAGGTGATGAAAGAGGACAGGGATCCAAATCAAGCTTCGGAGATCCTTAAATTCCTCCAAAGCCGACCACTCATCGAGGATCTTGTTCGCATACCAATCCAACTCGACGCATTATGTTTCGCTTGGGAGGATCGCTCTCAAATTGATCCCAAGACTATGACCCAACTCTACGCAGCCATCGATGAGTCCTTGTCAAACAGAGTAATTTCAGATATTAGCCATGCCAAGTCGTCCCGCAGCTTCCTCGAGGCATTAGCCTTCCACGGGTTGTACAATCGACAGACAGTCTTTAACGAGAGAGACATTCGCCTTGTTTGGAAGGATCTTCTATCATTCGGAGGACTACCAAATACATTGACAAAGACAAGCCCTTTTCTTCGCTGGTCTGACACTGCGCTCCGGACAAAAGCTTGCAATCTCTACTTCATTCATTTGACTTTCCAGGAATACTTTGCGGCGCAATACATTCGAAGGCATTGGGTTACCTCGAGTGCCCTCCAGGTCATTGACACCCGAAGTGAGGTAAACAAGTCGCCAAAAAAGACAATACCGCACTTGGAGTTCTTTCGCCAGCACAAATACTCACCCCGATACGACATTGTCTGGCGCTTCCTTTCTGGACTTTTCGGTCTGGAGTTTCCCAGCACAACTACCCCCAATGCGAACCCCGATTTTCAATCAGAACTTTTCCACGAAATACAAGCAGAACCACTGGATTTGGTTGGTTTTGCTCATCAGCGACTTGTCTTGCGCTGTCTATATGAAACGGACCAGGATTTTCCCTTGCGATCAGGCCTCGAAAACCAACTATCACGGTGGTTAGAATTCCAGTACACGTATCGAAAGAATAGATCTCTTGGTCAGGCCTCCCTACCATCTCTAGCCCGAGAGATGGAATTTCCTATGAGCATCCTTTCAAAGTATGTATCGAAGGGTTTCGATATGGCCAAATTTCTCTTGTTTGAGATTCCTCGCCAGCGAACTTTGGATGTTGAATTTGTCAATGCCTCTATGGCTTACTTATCCAATTCCGAGAAGCATGGCAATAGCTGGTTTCTTCCTGTTTTGAATCGTTTTCCTCCCACCTCGTATTCTGAATTATCGGAAGAAAGTATCTCTACCCTTACCGAACAGCTCGAATCCAGAGACGATTCCCTGCGCCGAATAGTCATGAAGGCGCTTATCAAGCAGGAGCATCTGCCAAAGTCCATTTTCTCGAAAGTTGTCCATCATCTTTTGGAAGAAATTCGGATAGAATGCTCTCTCTATGGTCGAGGAAATTCCGTAAGTCGGCTTGGACTGACCGACTTACCCGATCACATGCTTGAAGCGCTGGCAGAAAGGCTCAATAACAAAGATCCTGATATTCGAGGGACTGCTCTTCTCATTCTAGAAAATCAGGAGAACCTGCCAGATTCCATACTTTCCCAAGTGGAGAGAGAATTTCAAAACTCACTTTTGACCCTTCAACCAACTACTTTCAAGCACCTGATAAGCCAGCAACCTTTTCCCAACTCTTTAGTACAGGGGATGATAGAGATTCTGGAAGAAAAGCGGTATCCTATTTCGAAATCTCCTATCCAAAAAGCTGCGTTGCGAGTTATGGATGTATTCCCGGACTTTCTAGATGCCGCAATCGAATCTGTGGTCGGGATCCTTGAGTCACCTTGGAAGGGAATACAGATGGCTTGCATAGAAGCATTGAGGGCAAAGCCAATGCTGCTAAAATCAGCCCAAAGCATCCCCTTAGGTGTACCGCATGTAACAGACGTATGCACCGCTGTCAGGAAGACCAAAGATATTTTGTCAGAAATACCACACTCAATCCAAACAGCTGTGGAAGCGAAGCTTAATCACCCGGAACTCCGTGTCCAGTTGGCCGCAGTGGATACCCTCAAGTATTTCAATCCGTCGGATACCGTATTTAAAGCAATATTACACAAACTTGAAGACAACGACGAAAGTGTTCGGCATAAAGCATCATCTACGCTTTTACTACTCGAAAAGCTCCCCAAGTCCATCTGGGTGGTATTGGTAGCGAATATCAATCACGCGAACCCACTTGTGCGTGCTATTTCTCTTGAGACCTTAGCACGCCTTGAACTGGATAACGTCGTGCTCGAAGCGATTGCTAGGTATTTGGATCATTCCGAATTTGTTGATGTCCAATCGAAAGTGATTCTCATTCTTTTCGAGTACCCTAGTCAGTCATCTTTAGCATTTCAGGCTGTACAAAGACTGATTAAGCGTCGAATTGAGCTTGGAGAACCTTTCGATGACCTTTTGTCGGCGTTGGAGGGCAATCATGGCTTACCAATCGCGCTTGTTGAGTTCCTCTTCGATCTAATGTTAAAAGACAGAAAACTGGGAGACTCCGTCATGTACGTTTTGCAAACGCAGTCGAGCCTTCCAGGTCACATACTGCGTGCGATAATCGAGATATGCGCCTTTGAAAAGTCGACCGACAGGCTTCCCTCCATCTCAAATGGTCTGAAGTATATCAAGGCTATTCATCGACAAGATCTGTCAAATGATGTCCTTCAAGCAGTAGCAAAGCTGCTCGGGAGTGAATGCGAAAGTCTTTACGACTTCGCCTGTGGAATATTCGACAGACAGGAGACATTGGAAACGGTGATACAAGATGAAATAACCAAATTCCTCAAAACTTCTGAACAGCGCTTTCGAGAAACTACGCTTGACGTTCTCTACCGACCAATTCTAGCGCTTTCGACACTCAAAGAGATAGCGAAGCTCCTTGAATATAATGGACCGCACGTGCAAGTCAAAGCAATCAAGATCATTGGCCTGTCAAATGCAACTGATGAGATGCTTGAAGCGATTGCGACAAAGATTGATGATCAAAATCCCGAAGTTCAAATTGCGGCCATCGAAGTCATTAGCGAGTCAAATGCAACTGACGAGATCCTCCAACGGATAGCGAGAATCTTTAGGAAGACATACAACGATAACGTCCAAACCGCTGCTCTGAAGGCCCTGAAGAAGCAAGAAAGCGTACCTGGCTTTGTTTTGAACGAAATTGCTATGGCTTTGGTTGAACAGGGCACGCGTTTTAGAAAGTTCTTTGGCTTTTCTGTTGTGTCAGTCATAATCCGCAATCCAAATTGGGTTAGCATATTCGGAGAGAACAATGCGCTTGCATTGATATCCCAAGTTATCTTACAGCATTCTTTTGACTTGGGTTGTTTTTGTTTTCGTTTTGCAAACAGAATATATTCTGCCAGCGATGGTAGCGAGGAAGGGTACGACGTAGGGAGTCCAGATTCGGCTCTCGCCATCGCCATGGATACTGCTCTTAGGCAGGCTAGGGAAAGCTTCAATCTTCCTAAGATTGTAGATGATACGCCTATTCAATGAAAGGATAATCAGAGGAGAGAGGAAGCCGAAGCAAATCTAGTGTTCCGGTAGTAATAAATCATAGACATGTTACGGCCAGCACTGCCACTGTACCAATGGGCAAAGAGCATGCTCGCAATCGTTAAGGAAACGATCACGAACCAAGACTTATATGCCCACGACGAAGGAGGACAATATACACCATAACAAAATACTCAGATTATATTTTAATAAACGGTGGTCACAATTAATAATATGCTGCTGAAAAGATCGAACCATGCCTTGACGGCTCGAGGAATGTTCAAGAATCACCTTATGACTACAGAGCAAGAGTCACTAGCCTCCTAGGGAAGTACAGTGCCTTTAATTCGAGGAATCTTGACGGAAATCAGCCCTCCTGACTATTCGAGGGCGATGTTTGATCACCTGTGACATCGGCTGGGCGACATTTGCGGAACTCGACCGTATGGTGCTGACTTTGGAACCCTCGAACCTCGTGACTGGCGACCGCGATGCTTACATTCACGGTTTGAAATACCATTGTCACCAAAAATTATCTTTTCTGGATCGTGTCGCAGAATGTAAAAGACAAACACAAACGAAGAGGTCCAATGTCCTGTGATGAAGTTCGTGCGTCACTGCTTCTTGACAACTAGCGGCGTATCTTGGGCTTCTCAATACAAGAGGCTTCAATCACGGATGGTACTCACGTGGAACACACAAGTAAGAGAAGCGTTCACAGTATATCACGATTGGGGCTGGTATCATAAAACGGCCCAAGCAGATAGTACAAGTCTCTCATCCGCGACCCAAACAGCTCCCAGTACATGTCAAGCGTTAAAACGTTTATACCACGGCCACTTGAGGGCGTATCATATCCATGGCAAATGTCGTTGGGCGAATAGCGCCACCAGAGATACACGGCTTGCTCTGAAATGATCCCGATAGCACCCGCTGCTGAACCCACGCAGCCCGCAATAGTATACACATACGTCTCCAGATTTTGGGTATGGTTGATGAGTCCAGGCACAGACTACGACGAAATGGTCGGAAGTTGGATTGTACAGAGGCCGCGGCTTTAGATGTTGCTGTGTCGCGCCCGCTTTCTTCCTGATCCACCGCTCGACGCGGACGGTAATAGCTTTCCTTGTCCCTGACGCTTGAGCTTCTCGTCCAGCACACGGGCTTGAAATTGTCAGTAAGCGCGGGAGATGCCGTAACGAGGCACAACTTACTAAGCACATCGTAACCGAATTGGGGGAACTCCAAGCATATCGATCGGAACTCTTCTTCTGCCTCTGCCCTGAGAGTATGACTGCGCGTAGCCCAGAAATTGGCCACTGGGGCACGAATGGACGTGTCGTCCTTGTCTGTGTAGGCGTAGACATAACGAGCGTACGCGATCTCGCCCTTGGCGGTCGAGTTGACGCAGTGGATCTTGCTGGTCGCCAGGCTTCTGAGCTTGTCCACGCCAAACTTCTCTGCCAGTGTGTAGACGCGCGCATGCTTCAGCAGCTGATCGCCCGACTCGTCTACGGCAGGGATGCCAGGTTGATGCTCGAGCTCACGCGTACCCGGGATCTTCTTGGGGTAGTAGTCGCCGGTATACAGGTACTCGAGGAAACAGCCTACGGCGTCGATCTCTTCGTTGCTGAGCTCAATTTGTCGAGGCTATTGTGCGCAAAATTAGCCGCTTCTTCTTGCAACATCTGCCATTGAAGCGGCGCGGTTGTGGCCAATGGTTACTTACGCTGCCATCATCGTTGAAAGCGGTGCATGCCTCGGCAAAGTAAGGGCTTTGCTCGAGAAGAGCTTGGTGTGCAGTCAAAATTGCAGAGTTCTCCCCATCGCCGACCAGGAGTGTCACCATCGGGCTCTTGAGGTAGTCGATGAACTGGATGTGCTGTTCGATTTCGGGTACCTCGTCGCCACCTTCAGCAAAGGGCAGCTCGGTCGAGTCGGCATTTTCGGGGGCTTCCGCTCCATCGTCACCCATTTCCACGTCGGCGCCGCTCGCCGTGAGCTGCGGCTCCTCGGCAGGTTCTTCGCGGTACTCGTCGGCCATACTGCTGAATCTGGTTTGCGCGGGGAATTGGGAAGGACGGTCGCAGGCGACTCAATGATTGAGCGCTATATCTGATACAATCGAATGAAAGGATTCGGGCCGTGAAGATGGGGAAAAGAATTTTGATGGTGATGTGATGTTGCGTTGATTGTCGCAAACGCAGTCGCTGTCAACTCCACGAAGCTGGAGAAATCGCAAGGCTGGATGCAGTGGGCACTGGATTGGCCCAAACTGCTGCTACAAGCTTGGTTGGCCGGGCAGCTCAGTGTGCACTCACTGTCTGTGCCACACAGTGCAGGAGCTCAAGGGAGCTAGGCGCTAGGCGAGGCAGGTACCCGCCCAACCATACTGGCGCGTGTGTCGCGCTCGAGCTTCTAGTGCCTTCCTGCATAGGTCCTATAGCTGAAGGACAATATTGATCTTTACATAGCCTGAAGGTTCTATAGGCAGAGTGCGCAGTTAAGTCAAAATGAACATTGAATCCGATCAATGAAAGTCTTTCATTATGGCTTGAATCGAAAGCTGCGATTAATTGGATTTGGTTATGGCACATTTCGCAAAAAGGAAGGATGACGGTGCACAGAAGGACTCGATACATCATTGATACTGACCGACATCCCAAAAACATTGCAGGTCTCCTTGCTTGTTTCCCAGTATGATGAATTGTGCTCTTGGGCAATGGCCCTGTTGCAGGTCTCATCTGATGACAATCGGCTTTCAAGTATGAATTCGATTGTCAGGAAACAATCCCTCAATGCCTTGCGCCAATGCGCCAATCCATCACGAATGACCTAGATACCCAAGGACTTGTGTAAGTACTAGCTGGGTCAGTAAAAGGTGGTGCAGCTAAACACGGACTACCTCGCTTCTTAGGCGGCGCACGACACATTTATGGTAAAGACTTTCATCCTATAGACAGACAATCCAATACCATACTGGTTATGTAGCCTCCAGTCCACAAAACGTGGTATCAGACTGGGCCATGGAGAATATTATACACTACCTTCTTGGCCTGTTCCGGTAGTACCTACCGCATGCTTCTCAAGTGCCGATAATTGTTAAGAAGAATTCCGCCCGACCCGGACCCGAATGGAAAGGCCCGGGGTGGATAGCTGACTCCGGGACATGCACAACGCAGGGCATTTAATCAGGGACAAGAGCATCCCGGGAGTGGTCGTGGCAGATAGGGTTTTCGTAATACTTACAACTATCTATCTCCGTGTTGCAAAGCCGAGGGTACTAATGTGAAATCAAGTGCCCCCCGCATTGACTTCAAGAAACCGTTGCACGCACACCCCGTCGAGTTGAGTGCCAGCCATGGCGGGGTGATGTAGCTGCATAGATGTCGTGGCCATCTCATGTTCGCCATGAATGAGCAATACCACATCATTTGGTGAGTAAGCGGGCAGGACCGGTCTTCAGCTTCTTGATAAATCATGCGCTATTATGACGCGATCGCACAATGCCTCTCCACATTCCGGGACAGTATAAAATACAACCCCGCCTTCCGGCAGTTCTGGTGAAGATATAACGGAACCTAGTGCATTTTATCCCATCTCACAGTTATATATAACCACATTTCTTCTTGAATCTTGACCTCCCCTTGAAACATTTTATCAATATCAATTTCTTATTAATTAGATAAACGACCCTTTCATCATGTCTTCTATCAAGAACGTTGCCGTCGTCGGTGTAAGTGGGGCCGGCAATCGGTATCATCTCGGAACCGTCACTAATCCAGACGTTTAACAGGCTTCTGGCAACATTGGAGCGCCCATCACGGAGGCGCTTCTCGCCGCTGGCTTCAAAGTCACGGCATTGACCCGAGAATCTTCCTCGTCAACCTTTCCTTCCGGTGTAGTCGTCAAGAAGGTCAACTTGGATTCGGTTGACTCACTCAAGGAGGCCCTCCAGGGACAAGATGCTGTCGTCTCGGCGGCGGCTACACCAGCAGTCGGCAAGCAATATCCCATTGTCGACGCTTCCATCGCTGCTGGCGTGAAGCGCTTCGTCCCTTCAGAGTTTGGCGTCAACACGAGAACAATCCAGGACCAGGGGCTCAAGACTATCCTCTCGGGCAAAATCCAAGTGCTCGACTATATTATCAAAAAGTCCGAGGAGAGCCCGTCATTCACTTGGACAGCGTTTACCAATGGACTTTTCTTTGACTGGGTTGGTGGCTCGTTTGCCCTATTTCGTTCCCTCATAGGACAATTGCTAACCCGTCACCAACGCAGGGTCTGAGGCTCAGCGGGCTCGGTTTCGACAAGACGACCAAGACGGCTCGGATCATCGACACGGGCGACACGCCCTTTTTCGCATCCAACCTGTCTTTCATCGGCAAGGCCGTAGCCGCTTCGCTCTCCCGCGCCGACAAGACGGCGAACCAGTACCTGTCCATTGCCTCGTTTACGACGACCCAGAACCAGCTGCTCAAGATTTTCGAGGAGGAGAGCGGGGCGCAGTGGCAGAAGGAGCCTGTCAAGTCCACGGACCTGACCGCCATTGGTAACGAGAAGCTAGCCAAGAAAGATTTCAGTGCCTTCCGCGACTTCTTGGGGGCGTACCTGTACAGAGATGGCGGCGACAGCGCCAAGGGCGTTGAACTGGCCAACGGCCTTCTGGGTCTCGAGGAGGAAGACCCTAGGCCCACGATCAAGGCTTTCCTTGAGGGCAAATTGTAGACAAGAATATCTGGCAGAACATACTGCAAAGTTTCTATCGGTATTCAATAATCTTCCGAGTCTATTGATAGCCATGCGCAATAAATCGGGGTCTGCACGTATGCAGCGCAAATGTGCACGCATATTCGATAATCACCTGATGTAAGTTGTGTTTTAGCCCGGCTTGTCCACGGCCCAACTCAAGATTTGATTGAAGCTCTTTTAAGAAGGTGTTTGAATGAACATGCAGTTGTAAAACAGTCTGAAAGATAGCTCGTGATAAACATTTCCGCATGATCCGTTTTGTCAAGAGATATTCGGGCTGTTCACTCCGAGCGGCCAAGTGATGGATTATAGACATTCGCACATAGCACCGTTCTAGGTTAGCGCAGGCAATGGTTGAGAGACCCTGTATACCGTGATGAATTACTGCCAGGTGTGCAGTAGTGTTGCAACGCCTACCTATAGCGCCTAGTACGATGGAATAGTACCGACTGCTGCATGCACCGTTGGTAAACCCAGATGTAACCTCGCATTGTTCGCATCCCATCACTATTATTTTTTCGAATGCAACACAAAGAGGAAACGGGCCCTAAAGTGTCGCCCGCCAAGGCTCTTATTTCTGCAAATAGTTTCTGCATGCAGTATATAGCATATCTTAGCCCAACGGTTTCGGAAGCGCACGGCCAGAAACTCTTCATCCCATCTCCGTTCTAGCGGATGCTATATATGCATCTTTGATTAACGTTCCGCTCGCCTTATGCAAGGGACGAGCCTTTGCACAGGCAATGTGAGGACGGCCAAGATTGCCGACCATGAGAGCATACGGGCGCGGCGCAACCCTCAGACAGATGCATGTGGCGGTTCTTTGCATTATATGCTGGAGGGAACGGGCATCTTGACTAATCTGTACATGACGATTGGTTTCTGCGCGCCGAGACTATCGATCTCACGCAAAAGTCGAATTGGAGTAGACTGGCTGGGATGCACTGCGAAATGCTTGGAGGAAAATCGCAATAGGCGCGAAACTGCGCGTGTAATTGCCCGGCAGTATTCCGTACCTATGCACCGTAGTACATACAATAACCAATCTGCCCTGCAGCCATGCCATGTGGACTCAATAGGACGTGCAGTATCAGTGCGCTTGCATCGGGCTTATAGCACACCATTACGACAACCACCACAACGTGGACAGCCACATCTTTTTTTTTTTCTTTTGGGCAACGGGGCGCATTTCATTCGCCAGGGATCGTCGGCTTGATTTTGCTCCGTCTACCGCAGACCGAACATGAAATGAGGTTGGGAGTGCAGATGTTGGAGGAATGATCATGTGCGCCCATGAGCAGGACACACCTCGTTCTTCCATGAGGATGCAGATTGGCCTACCAAATGCTTGCCCCGAGCAATCCAAGTTGACTTCCTCATACCACTCTTCGTGATGTATCCTGTTGCCACCTTCATAGATGATATATCTTCCATAGACCAATCTTGGTGTTGACGGATGCGGCGGCATTCTGCAGCATGTCGTCAGGGATAGGGAAACTCTCGATTCTGCCATGCGGGCCAGACCCGCTGATAACAGAGATCAATTATGCTTTGAGACTATCAAGGACTACGGGGAGGGCCACGTGGTGAAACGCCGCCAACCAGCTTGATCTTATTGTTTAGCGACGATCCAATGGGAAATACAAGTAATACGGTGACTGTTGATCAAGCAGTAGACCTAAAATCAGCACCCATCACCCCCAAGGATCTCTTTTCTGTCGTGCAGTTGGCAATCGAAACAAAACGTGGGCTTTACCCGGTACAGCCATCAGGGCCGTCGCCCCCACCTACAGCGAGGCATAGGGAGGGTTGCACTGGATACCCTTTTCGTCGAAGCGCACGGACAACGTTCTTGTCTCGGCGGACCAGGTGCAAAGCTTCGCACTTCCTCTTCAACGCGCAACATGGGCTGCACAGCGCGCGTAGATCCTGGCTCTGACCCCCCCTTGCAAGACGATTGACATCAGCAACTGTCCTGTAATTGACAACCTGCACATACGAACAAGGGAAGGAAAACAGAAGGAAAATCAATGACGGGCTTGACCCTAGACTAGATGAACCAGGTCATGGGTGAGCGAGAAGGGGACCGCGGATGCGGGAAGCGAAAGGAAACTAGCAGCGTCGCTATTATAAAGATCATCTTCATGTCCCAAGATGGTCGCTTTCACGTCGATCCAGCCAGCTAGCCCGCCTACTTTGTGCTCCTCGTAGGTGACTTGTCGACTTTTCCCTTTCCGCGGATTCTGTCTCGCGAATTGTCATTCTTTTACAGCACTGGTGACGTTGGCAACATGAAGGGCTACATATCAGCCTGTTTGGTCTCACTGGCCAGTTCGGCATTGGCTGCCCCCTGGGATCTCCCAAAGAGAAGCAATGTACGACTCGAGGCAAGAGATAATACGACAACGGTCGACCTTGGGTACGAGGTTCACTCGGCAACTGTCAATGTGAGTACTGGAGACATGCAACTGGCTTACAAGCCAACTTTCGATACCCATGATATCTAATATTTGCATGTAGGAAACTGGCAGCTACTATCTCTTCAGCAATGTCCCTTATGCTCAACAGCCCATTGGGGACTTGCGATTCCAAAAGCCAGTGCTACCGACGGGAACGAACTCGACGGTAAATGATGGCGGCTCCTCAGACATCGAATGTATGCAGGCCTATCCAGGATGGGTCGTCGAATTGCAGGCTGCCTCTTATGGCGTCGATGCCGCGACCATGGCCGCTATCCTCTACAACAGCGGTGCCCAGACGGAGTCTTGTCTTTTGCTAGACATTTACGTCCCAGAAACCATCTATGAGCTTGGCGCATTGGCTGCAGCGCCAGTTCTTGTCTGGATCCACGGCGGAGGCTTCACATATGGGTCCAAGACGGGCTCTGGAGAGATTGCCGGTCTCTTGGCACGCTCGAACAACACCGCCATCATTGTAGCAATCAACTACCGCCTCGGTATGTTTGGATGGCTCGACGGTTCAGATCTGACACCCAACTTGGGTCTCTACGACCAGCGCCTCGCGCTCGAGTGGGTGGGAGAGTATATTAGCAATTTTGGCGGCAGCGCCGATAGGGTCACCGTCATGGGTGAGAGCGCAGGCGCTGCCTCCATTCTGCACCACATTACTGCTGAAGGTGGCAAGGAGGAGGCTCCTTTTGACCAGGCCATCGTCATGAGTCCTGCCTTCCAATTCAACATCAATGGCTCATATGGCTATGATCTGACCATGGAGGTGGCAACGAACTACACTGGCGAGGACATTGACAGTGTTGCTGACCTGACTGCCCTAACCTCTGCTCAACTCAAGTACATTAACCAGGCTGTCGTTTATGATGCCTTTACTGGCCTCTTCAACTACGGACCAGTGGTTGACGGCACGTATGTTCCAAACCATCCTCAGGTGCTCCTCCTCGAGGGCAAGTTTGACGATTCTGTCAATGTAAGTGAAGAAACTCGTCGATAAACATAAACATAGCAGGTGGTTAACGATACCTACAGTTGCTGCTCAGCCACACATCTAATGAGTCGGTTCCTTTCACGCCAACCGATATTGCTACTGCTGAAGATCTCTACGAATTGGTCGCGACAGAGTTCCCCGAGGTTTCCAATGAGACGATCGAGTACATGCTGACCACGGTCTGGCCGGATGTGCTCGACGGCACCTACCCGTGGACAACCGAGTTTGCCCGTGCCGTCAAGATCGGTACCGAGATCCAATTCGCCTGCTCTGCGCGCTTCCTCTCAGTGGCTTTCGACAATGCTACGTACGACAGCATCTTTGCGTACCCACCAGGCTACCACGCCCAGGATGTTCCCTATGTCTTCTTCAATGGCGACACCAGCAGTCTTGATGATGGTCTCCCAGTCAACCCAACTATTGCACACGCCATCCAGGACCACATAATGACCTTTACTCTCACCGGCGACCCCAACTATCTGGGCGAGGCAGTTACATGGCCCCTCTACGGTTCCAGCGCTCAGACTCTTGAGTACACCTATGCCGGACAGGTGATTGTGACGGACGATTTAAAGAACGACCGATGCACGTGGATACAACAGGCCATGGCCGACGGAACCCTGTAAGTGGAGGACTTCCTACATATACCCAGGCGGCCGTAACGAGAAGATATGAACATATAAACGCAAAACCGAGAAGGTTTTATGTACATAGTAATTAATGAATGACACTAATGATGCATAACGTAGAATGGGAAAGAACACATGTGATGATAAACACACGCATGGAAATCATGGCAAGCCCGGCAGTAAAGGCGGCAAAGGCGGCCACAGCGCAAGTAAGGACAGCAAGTTCAAGGTAGACGTCAAGGCCACTGCAAAGGTGATCCTGCCTGGAAGGGAACAGCGTCATCAATACTGATGATTAATACTTCTGTATACTACTCCTTGTCAAAGGGGGATAATAGTATCTAGGTAATATCTTAATATATCCAAACTTTAACCCAGCCACGCGTCCTGGCTGTGGGTATTCATCATAATCACCATACACCCTCCGCGTCCCCACCACCCGGTATCATCATGGGCAAAGGGCCGGAGTCGGGAGCTATGAACGTCATCAGGACCCGGTATTCCACCGTTTCGTCCAGGGTAAAATCGGCGTCCATCTGTTCCAGGAAGATCAACCGGGTCCGCGCCACCACTGGCGCAATCCAAAGTGTTCGCCATACAAAGAATGGCTCACAAAACCACCAACCTACACGAGCGAGTCTTCTCATGGCATACCGAAGCACCTGATGCGTCAGGAGCACCGACAAGGACAGCGCTACAAGCCAGGCAAAGTCATCAAGACATTGCCCGCCCCTCAGATCGAACCAAGACGTCGAGCCTGGCGTTACGCAAGACTGATTGAACGATTTGCGCCGGAAACTCTTGACAAACTCTTGCTTGATAATGTATCCAGGACCGACTTCCCACAATTTGACAGGTAGCATACCTCGGATGATTTGGTAGGCCGTATAAGTCACGATGTGGACAGCCGTCGCGCGCAGGTAAGCGGCTTTGGGGCGCACCTGTGCAATCATCTCGGGGCTCTCGTAAATCTCCTTGGCCTCTTGTACTTGAAAGCGAAACATGAACATGAACTGCAACAGCGCAGTCGCCACGCCGAGCTGCAGCGCCACCTGTCCAATCAATCTCTGCCGCGGCGTCCAGAGGTCTTCGGGCACCGTCGAAGCGTCCACCCACATCCTGTCTTGGTTAACAAAATCGATAGCCCATCGCCCACCCCAGACTCCAGACCCCTCCAGCGCCCACAGCAAGCCCGCCACGAGCAGCCGCCGTCCCGCAGCATACCAGAGCAACACCGCAAAACTGACAGCGACGCTCCAAGCCGTGGCGAGCACCTCGTACAAGCCCGTCGCAAACCCCCAGGGGCCGTCTCCCTTGCGCAGCACGTCGGTCATGCGCTCGAGCTCCTCGAGCTTGTTCTCAGTGGGCGGGACGCGCACATTAATGCGCCAGACTGCTGCTACACTCCGTAGCAGCAGACTCTGCGGGATGATGATCAATGCGCGCCAGCAGTCGTGAAGGGGTCCATCAAAGTCGGCCAGGATGCCTTCGTACAGAGCTGTGCTCGCAAAGGCGAGGGCGGTCGTAAGGAGGACTCGTGGCAGGATGGCAAAGAGGTACCGCCATACTTGATATCGCACCAGGAGTTGGTGCTGAGTCTCGAGGTTAATTAGAATGAGGAGAAGCTGCGAGATGAGGCAGACGGTCGTGGTTGTCAGGTTGAAGGGAAAGGGTGGCGGTTTGGGGTCGGTTGTCCATGAGGGGATTTGTATTATTTCTTCAGTATCCGGGGTATCCTTGAGTTCGAAATCAGCATATCAGAATTGAAAACTTGAAATCTAATTCTCTTACTTCGTCGTCGACTCCTTCCTCAAGATTGTCCTCGTCTTCTTCGTCTTCGACGTGTGGGTTGTGTACTGCAGGCGGGACACGACGAGCGTGCTCACCTGGGCGTATCTCGTCTCGTCGATCCATCAGCGAGTAACCTTAATCCGAATATATATCAGCGTTCCCAGAATATTTTATTCTCCATACTTGAGCCCCTATCAAATGTCCAGGCAGCAGACACACTCTGGCACCAATTTGGTGGTGTCTTTGTTGCAAAGTTGTTTGCCGCATGCGGTTGCAAACAACAAAGGAGTCCATCGCGCACCTCAAATGTAAGTTGTCAGAATATGCCCAGGATATGCAACAATAACTCCATCTTTTTGTAGATTAGAAAGCGTTAATCATAGCAAGGGACTCTTTTTTATTTTGAAAAAATTAAAAAGTGAAAACAAAAAAAAAAAAAAAGGAAGAGGGAGGGGCATTCGATTGCAGGGAGTCCAAGGCAATTGAGATTGGAAAACTTGTCACAGTTCCCATCGGCGGCCCTAGTTGTCGACTCCAGATCGTTTAAATGTCCCTCCCTTCCATCGTAATTACGCGAGGCCCTTTCAATAATCCTCCCCATTTCATCTTGGCCAGTTTACTCAATAGTGTGTTTAAGTACCACAAAGCCATTGAGCTAGAGCCGGGTAGTCCTCAAGCCCTCGTTGCTGGTTGACGATAATGCATTTATTCGAAATTATTTGTCTTTGGCCTCCTTAGATTTATAATAATACTTTCTCTGTCCATATTCACTTTACTCTATTATTTCATTTCTATGTACGCGACTATTAGCTATATTAACTTGAAATATGGCGAGGAAAAAATGACCTTGAACCTGATGTCGGAACTTAACAAAAGAAAGAAACAACAAATCAAAACAGGAAAATGTGAAAAGAGCGAGAATTGTGAGGAAGGATAGCAAAAAGTTGCAAAAAGTGGCAGGTCCTCGCGATGCGACTCTCTACCCGGAATATCAATTGCAGAACTAGTTGCCCGGAATCCACGGACGGCAGTATTCCTGCTTTTTCCTAGCCAGCGTCCTCGACAGTGTTGCGCGCATACCACTGAGTCATAGGACCAGTTCGTCCGGATCTGCCTGGCGGATCTCGTATCAGTCGGTCTGAATGACTTTCGTAGCTGGTTGGTAACAAGATGACTTAACTAGACTTATGTGCATTCCTTTCTTTGTCCTTGGTCAGTCTCTTCTACTAATATTGATTATTCCATTTGACATCATCCAGTGACAGCTGGTTTACCACAAAATGGCCACTCCAGAAAATAGAAAAGGCAACTCGTCTTTATTCCTTGATTTTCCTAGATTAGCTCATCTCGTCTTTTGTATTCGCCTGCTGTGCTATTGACGGGCTTGCTTCATTTTCACATTATTTCCTATCCGCCGTTTGCATCATGGATAAGTGTGCCTCTGACTTTCTACCTTGGTAGATACCCCTGAGCATACCTACTCAAGAGTGCCCAGTACTCCATGTCGAATTACTTTTGGATGGCGCTAAAGCTTGAAACTATTTGTTTGGCGGCAGCGGACTGTTGTGGCAGCAGCATTGCGCTGCTTACCTCTAAATTGGAATTGAGAACGCATATAAAATGATCTTGATACATAAGGTCTCTACAAGTTTCATCTATTGATTTAAATAGTGTGTCGCCTCTAATAAGTCAGTCCTCCAAATGGACACAACTAGGAGTATTTCCGGTCTTTCCCTCAAGTTTATTTAAATGGCGGCATTGGCGAGAATGGCCCTGAAGAAGCTATTAGCAACCGGCTATGGGCGTTTTGTGCAAACGCTCATGCCACACGACTCTTTTATTTGTATGAAAGGACTGGAAAGAACCATGTGTCTGGGTGCAAGCATCGTCTGACAAAAGTTTCTAGCTCTATTGTCCTGCAGTCATCTTTGTGTTATCCAAATCTTGGTACGACCTGGACTTGCCTGAATGTCATTATGTAAAGACGTCAAACATTCGTTGAAAAGGTAGAATATTTTCAGCATCTGATCATAATTTATACCTCTATATTTCTAGAATACTTTACATTCAATCAAAAATCATTGAAATGCACGAAGCAGTGGAAAAGTAATTCAAGACCGACGATACTAATTGTCACGAACAATTATTCTCAGCTTTTACTTCACTTACACTTCATCGAAAACAGTATTCCAATGCCAGAAAAACATAATGTGAAATTCCTGCTGACCCATCATTGAAAATACAAGATTACTGTCAGCGATCAATATGTTTCAGTATTCGAGCGGGATCTAACGCACTAAGCACGAGTTCGCGCGGACAGCACCTAAGGAGCTTCTTTCTTTCTTTTTTTTTTTTCGGTAAAAAATAGTAGAGTACAGTCATTCATCATGAATTATTATAAATACTAGCCTAGGACGTGTTTAAATAATTAGGAGTTTACTGCACACCTCTAAAAATGGCCTGTGAGGCGAACATGTGATTGTGGAACCAGTATACATTTCGTGAACAAAGACAGAGCAAAGAAGCTTGGGCGGTCCCCGTCGCCTACCATCGGCTTTGGCGGGGCAAATCTTCTCACAAGGCGTTCTGGGCGTTCAAGTTGCGACATTCCTTTTCTGACTCGCCTCATCACCGCTGTAAGCAAAATTCGTAATCTGGCATCTACTTCTCGAGTTTTTGAGGGAATTAGCCAGCAAAAAGCTTCACCACAAATCATTCGACATTGCATCATTTCATCGCCAAAATGACAGCCTCAAATGGCACCAATGGTGCCTCGTCGATCCCCCACCGCCCGCCACCTCCAGCGACTGCCATGTCCGCAACCGAACTGATTGGCAACACACCTCTCGTACGATTGAACAAGATCCCGCAGTCCCTGGGCATCGAGTGCGATGTCTACGCCAAGGTCGAGCTCTTCAACGCCGGCGGCTCCGTCAAGGACCGCATCGCTCTTCGCATGATTGAGGAAGCCGAGCGCTCTGGAAGGATAAAGCCCGGCGACACTTTGATTGAGCCTACGAGCGGTAACACTGGTATTGGTCTGGCACTCGTCGGCGCCATCAAGGGATACAAGACCATCATCACTCTTCCGGAGAAGATGTCGGCTGAGAAAGTCAGCGTCCTGCGTGCTCTGGGCGCCACAATCATCAGAACCCCCACGCAGGCTGCTTGGGACGCGCCCGAGTCCCACATTGGAGTCGCTCGACGCTTGGTTAAGGAGATTCCCAATGCTCACATTCTCGACCAGTACTCAAACCAGGACAACCCCATGGCACACGAATTTGGCACGGCAGAGGAGATCTGGCACCAGACTGGAGGCAAGTTGAACTGTGTAGTAGCTGGTGCAGGTACCGGTGGCACAATCACCGGTCTGGCCAAGGGCATTCGCAAGCACAGCAAGGATGTCAAGATTGTGGCAGCAGACCCTCAAGGTAGTATCCTGGCATTGCCAGAGGCCTTGAACGATGAGCACAAGGACGAGCCATACAAGGTGGAGGGTATTGGATACGACTTCATTCCCGATGTCTTGGACCGAGAGCTGGTCGACAAGTGGTACAAGACTGATGACAGAGAGAGTTTCAAGCTTGCCCGCCGTCTGATTGCCGAGGAAGGTCTGTTGGTTGGCGGTAGCTCTGGTAGTGCCATGGCCGGCATGGTGAAGGCTGTCAAGGATCTGGGTCTTGGCAAGGGAGACGTCGTCGTTGTCATTCTGCCAGATAGCATTCGAAGCTATCTCAGCAAATTTGCCGACGACGACTGGCTTGCAGCCAACGACCTGTTGCCAGAGGCAGATGAGGCGGCCAAGCAGGCTGTTGCTAATGGAAACCCGACCAAGAAGGACCACGACCCCTATGCTGGCGCCACTGTTGGTTCGCTCAGACTCAAGCCAGTCACATCTGTCGTTGCAACTCAACTTTGCTCCGATGCGATTGAGACTATGCGGGATAAGGGATTCGATCAATTGCCCGTCTTGTCTGGACCCGGCGGCAAGCTTGTTGGACTTGTCACCTTGGGTAATCTCCTCAGCTACATCTCCCGTGGCCGAGCCACTGGTGACAGTCCGGTCAAGGATGTCATGTTTGACTTTGGTCGTCTAGATGAAGTTGTCACCGATCCCAGAGAGGGCCGGGGCAAGCAGCGCCGCAAGTTTGTCCAGATCACCAAGGATACACCTTTGACCGAGCTCAGCCATTTCTTTGAATGGAACAGCGCTGCCGTGGTCACTGAGTCTACTGCGGGCGGTGACAAGGCACTCAGCAAGCCTCTGGCCATTGTAACAAAGGTTGACCTTCTCACGTGGATGGTCAAGCAGAGCAAGCACTAGACAGTGAGGAACACGGAGTCCAGGGTAATCTCATTGCATTTAGGCGTTTGGATATTCGGTGATGCATATTTAGCATAGATCTCTTCTGATCAACTCGGATGTCACGGCTGCATCGGGCAGGCAGTCTGGATAGACTCAACGTCTCTAGATACCAGGAGTAAACACTGATTTTTCTTCCTTTTGACTCTATGGGCTGTTCTGCTCTATAGCAAGATATTGCGTGGTTCTTCCACAGTCATTGTGATGAAATATGCAACCGCCTTTGTCCTGCAGCTGAGCATTAGCTAGCACATTCTACAAACAGGTTGAACTATACAAACAGTGGTTTTTCTGTTTGTAACACCAGAGGCGAGTATCTGGGTCAACCCTCTCATTGAACATCAGCAAGTGCAACTACCTCCACCGCCACTCCCTCAATGTCGTCGACATGTTAGTCCGCTGGAATAATCACCTAATTCAAAATGCTGGGGCCTAATCCCGAATTCACTGAACTACAACGGGTTTCTTTACCTAACTCCTTGTAACTATTCCCCGGGGCCAAGTCTTCTAGACCAAATACTTGTACTGAAGACCTGTTGCACACCCACCTTTCCACACATGGTCTCTGTCTGGACCGCGACCTGGTTGATTGATGAGCAACCACATCATCCCTCAACACGATCATCCATCACAGCCTTTACTGGAATAAACTTTGTTGCCCATTTTATCTTTACTGTCTTCTGTCACTCGCCTCCTTCGCAGGCTCCTACCCATAATGGGACAATTCGCGAATGTCCATTCTCCCCATCGCGGAGATGGCCAAGATGCTGCCGCCCAGATGCGCGCCACAGAGCACTTGGACAAGACCTGCCTCCTTGATGACAACGTTGACCGCCCCAATGCTGCTGATGTAGTTGACTTGGCCACTCTTCTTGAAGAGCTGAGCATCGTCAATTCTAAGCTGGGAGAAGAGCGGCTTCAACACATCACCATACAGTATGTCTCGCAATCACAAGCTTTCATCGTTCTGAAGCAGAGCACTGGTACTGAGGATAATTAACTGACTTGATATTACTGTAGCCCCATTCTCCATGATTACTTGAAGGCCAACAAGGGGTATGTCCGAGCTACCATCGAGAGAAACAAGGTCAGTTACGATACCATTCCCAATACTGTCAGACACTGACCAGATACTTGCTCATTATAGGGTTGGGCCAACGAGGAAGCTGATAAGCACTTCATGATACTTCAAGAATCGGCCGACAATGTGACTTTAGGTACACAGCGCAAGTTCCACGAGCAGATGCTCAGTATCGGTCACGATATGGACAAGCTCCATAATCTGTCCACGGACTTGGAAGCCTCTGGTGATGCAAAGTTCCTCGATCTTTGTATGTCGCCGGGGGGCTTTTCAGGCACTATTCTGGCAAATTCCCCGAATTCTCAAGCATATGGCGTCTCACTTCCCGTCGAGAAAGGTGGACATCCCTTGTGCATCGAGGAGCAATACACTACTCGTATCCATGTTGATTGGATGGACATTACAATGCTCTCATCAGAGATGGGCATCACCGAGATTTCAGCTGACCATCCGGAAGTTTCTCGCTTTTCCACATTGCGCCCATACGAAGGTCTAGAATTTGGCCTCGTCTTTTGCGATGGAAATGTCTTGCGAACCCATAAGCGAGCAGACTACCGCGAGGCTAAGGAGGGCATTCGTCTATTGACATCCCAGCTTGTCCTCGCCTTTCAGAGAATCAAGAAGGGTGGCACTCTAGTCTGCCGCTTTCATAAGATTGAGCGTCTTGAGACAGCCGCGCTTCTCTACCTCTTCAACAAGATATCCAAGATGTCCGTGTTCAAACCTGTTTCGATTCATGGAGCTCGGTCTTCTTTCTATATGATCGCCAAGGATATTCAAACAGACAGTCCCAAGGCAGCTCAGGCTGTCGAGGAATGGAAGCGACAATGGCGAGAGGCAACTCTAGATCTACAATCAGGCCAGAGAAAGATCATTCCTGATCACAATGACCCTGACCGTATCAAGATGGCCAAAGAAATTGTCGAGAACTTTGGTCCACGACTGGTCGAACTGGTACGTATGACGGTCCCCCTGCCTCATTACACACATCCCCAATGACTATAACACTGCCTTTGTTCTCTGAATCGATACTAACCATGGCCGTTTATAGGCAAAACCTATATGGCAGATCCAAACAGACGCACTCTTGAACAAGCCTTTCAACACTGGACGATCGTATCGCTTCGAGAATGAAAAGTACAACCAGAAGTCTAGTTTCTCTAAGCCCCGAGGCGCGGCTGATTTCAGAACCAAGCAGAATTGGAGACCTCGAAACCAAGAGCCCGAGACCGTACAACCGATTTCTAGTGAGAAAGCCAATCATTACGTCGTGCCCCACCTGCGTAGGAGCTCGTTGCTCAACAAGGAGTCTAATGTGAGCCACGATGCCGAATCTGGAGATGGTCCTTATGGTTCACCACCGCGTCATCTCTGGGGAGCCAAACCGCACATGACAATGGCCATGGATGCACCTAATTGGAGAAGCCCTACCTCCAAGAACATGCGATCGCCTTCTCCGGCTCCTGATCGTCCGGTATTGGCAACCAACAGAGTTCATGCCTACGGAATAGGTCACCCCGGAGGCAATCTGACGAGTAACGCCAATGGAAGATCGTGGACTACGGACCATAACAGATCAGCCGGCGGTCGGCTCGATGGTAGCCAAAAGGAGAGCTCGGAAACCCCCTCTCTTCATTCTGCCTCATCTTCCCAGTCATGGCGCCGCAAGCAGGACCCGGAGTCTTTCGATGATGAGTAGCTGGAGAATTCACATAACTCCCAGTAGTGTATGTATTTCTCATACGCTATGCAAGTAAACCCGATCGATGCCAATGCCGGAATATTCAACATCAAGATTGAGATGGACCCTCGAGGCATTTACGCAATCAAATATCTCGTTTGCCATGCCTTAGTTTGTCGTTCTTTCGGTATTTACCGGATTGCGAAATGTTACCAGAAGGCTTGGGTTGTTCACGCGTGCGTTGTTAGGGTGGCATTTCTGCAGTTGCCAGTGTCTCTCAAGAGTTGTCCATGCACCGGTGAGGTTGTGAGCTAGGAATACTTTCGTTTCATGGAGGCTCAGATTGCCCCATCAGTCATCTTCAGTGGCACACTGTTATACCAGGAAATGTAATAGTCAAGACCAGTCTGAGTGCTGCGATAGGCACAGCAAGTCCGTATTTGTAATCTGAAGCGTTGTCATATGATTCTGGTAGTACTACCGTGCACCGGGCGTATGCGATTTCAAATATGCGCACTCAATGGCTAGTGCTCACTGTGATCTTGCAAGTCTGATGGTAAGTCCATGTTTCCATGTCGCAAGGCTCTAGGCAGATAGACCCAGGCGTCATCTACGCCTTGACATGCCCAAGGATCGTCGCGTGAGACCAAAGATGACCAGGCATCGGGTCATCTTACCAACACAAGACGGGTCAGATTTATATGTCTGAATCTGGAAGACAGACAAAAGTAAGCCAGTCAGCGCAAAGCCTCTCCTGAATCTTACGATTCAATGCGCCAATTAGATAACACAACAAAGCATTTCCCCCTCAACTAGATCTTGAACAATCAGAATCCCGTGGGGAAAAGTACGCGCATCAATACCCATTTTTTTTGGCGGAGTAGTTCGGCTGATGCCGAGGCTGATGCCGAGAAGGTATTGTGATATTTCGATTTGTAAATTGATGCTGATGCTTAGTCGATATGTTGGGTACTTACGTAGGTAGACATCGTATGCCCCAATAACCACTCCATAATGTTTGCTCGTTATGTCAACTCGTCAACGGAAGGGCGCCCGAAGCCGAGACTCGGGTAGCCACTGTCAGAACATCATATCAGCGCGAAAACAGTTGCCTGATATCTTACCGAAAACAGGTCAGCGTGTGACAAGGTTTTGCAATTCGAGTGACCAATATCATGAACCATGACAGAGAGATCAGCGTATCAATCAATCAATCAATCAATCAATCATCTGCAAACAAGAAAGCATCCCGGCTCGAAAAGATAGCCGTACGTTACATGGACATTCATCGGCACGATACCGATGATATTTTTGATGTTGGTGGACAGTCAAGAATTATTAGTCAACGACGCTGATAACGGAAGCACTAGTCTGAGCGGAGATCCGGGGGAAGACTCGAATGGGATGACCCATCGGCTCGCCACCCCACAAAAAGCGGCTTCGGCTTTCCCTCGAGCTACTACATATTTCTCCCCTCATAATGGCAATGTCCTCACCGATTTTTACTGCGAGAGGACCCCGGTCTGCTTGGGGGCAAGTTCCGATATGACGCGCACCCTCACCAAGGGGTCGGGTCTAGCTTGAGCCCAGCCAAGCAAGCCCAAGCAGAGCAAGCAGCAGTTGGCGAGTGGGCCATACTTTAGACCATCCGAATGCCAAGAGATAAAGACGATTCCAACGCAGCGGCAGTGACCGAAAGACCGACTACCGGCCGGGGGACACCCAAAAGAACCCTGTATAGTCTCTCATTGGCCGGGGTCGATTCTTTTGTCCAATGGCATGCTGACAGGCGATGTTCTGTGAGATAACTGAGATGATGTTGTCGATCAACGCAGGTCACCTTGCAGGATGCGCAGAACAGACAATGGGGCTGTAACGGGGTGCTCATTGCTCCGATGGCGCCGATATGCCTGGAGGGACCTTGACCAGGGGGGATTATACTGATGGTTGCACAGTGGGAGGAGGCAAGGCAGAATGCGACCGACGCAAGGTGAGATATATAAATTGACTGGGCCGGTCTTGATTCGAGAATGATCTGGCCAAGCTCTTTGCCAAGTCAGCGAGAACCTCCTCCAAGATGCGCTTCCTTCCAGTTTCCCTTGCTCTTCTAGCGGGCCGAGCGCTCGGAAGTCCCGTGTCTGGGCTTCCGGTCAAGATCGAGACCAGGTCGAAGCTCGACTCTCACCTTGCCAACGTCCACGTCCGCTTTGACGAGGCTGTTGAGGGAGACGTTACTTACACCTACGGGTCCTGTTCGGCCAAGGAGCTGCGCGACGCTCACCACGTTGTCGCACGCAGCAACCACCGGAACTATGACTCCAGACTTGTCTGGCTCATTCCCAAGGATGTTACCACCGAGGGCTGTATCTCGGCCTGGGGTGCCGATGGCTCTCTGGTCGGTCGCAGCACTTCGCAGAGCTTCAAGCCCAACAAGCGGGCTCTGAAGAAGCGTGGCGAGTACAGCATCGCCATGACCAACGAGACTGGCATCGATACGCTGGGCCCGTGGTTTGACGGTGTCGCCCTGCTCGAGAGCAAGAACCTCAGCGCTGTTGATGTCGCCGAGGCCAAGAGCAAGGAGATTGCCATTGTCGGTGCCGGTATGGCTGGTCTGATGACCTACCTCGTCCTTCACCAGTCGGGCATGGAGAACATCAAGATCATTGAGGCTTCTCAGCGTCTCGGTGGCCGTGTCCACACCGAGTACCTCTCTGGTGGACCTTTTGACTACTCCTACCAAGAGATGGGCCCCATGCGTTTCCCCAAGACTCTGACCATGGGCAACGACACTCTCAACATCACCGATCACCAGATGGTGTTCCAGCTTGCCGCCGAGATGAACAAGCTCAACAACCATGCCAGCAACTGGAGCGTCGACTTCATCCCCTGGTTGCAGTCGAGCAACAACGGTCTTTACTACTACGACGGCATCAAGTTGGACACTGGCCTGCCCCCTACCCTGGCTCAGATTGCCGACAACTCGTCCCTGGCCATCACTCTGGAGGACAACGAGTCGACCACTGAGCTCTCCAACACCATGAGCGCCATTCTCGCCAATGATACCTTTACTGCCCTCATGGCTACCAACATGCACCAGGCCCACAAGGACTTCCTTTCTGGCGGCTTGGATGGCCAGGATGGTGACCACTGGTCCGAGTTTGGCTTCCTGGTTAACTACCTGAAGGGTAACCTGAACGACACTGACATTGTTTCCGGAGGTTACTTTGAGACTTCCTTCTGGGACACCCTCTAGTAAGCATTAGCCATAATTCCTGCTTACATATATGCAGCAAATTGCTAACGAATCCCACAGCGAGGGCATGTACTTTGATGCTTCCTCCTACGAGACCATTGACGGTGGTCTCAACCGTCTGCCTCTGTCTTTCCACCCGCTTGTGGACAATGTCACCACCATGGGTCGCTCCATCGAGCGCGTCAAGTGGTTGCCCGAGACCGAAAAGGTGCAGCTCGAGTGGCGCGAGAAGAAGGCCCCCAACGTGACTTCTGGTCCCAGCGCCGTGTGGGCCAACGAGACCTTTGATTATGCCGTTATGGCCCTACCATTCTCAGTGATTCAGGGCTGGAGACTGCCCACGCTGCCCGCCACCATTAGCAACGCCATCAACGAGATGCCCTTTACCGCAGCCTGCAAGGTGGCGCTCGAGTTCTCGACGCGCTTCTGGGAGCACTATGAGAACCCCATCTACGGTGGCTGCTCGACCTCGACCGATATTCCCGGTGTCGGCAGCGTCTGCTACCCTTCGTACAACATCAACGGTACCGGCCCCGCCACCATGCTGGCCAGCTACATCTCGGGCGACCAGTGGGGCAACCGCTGGGTCTCTGTTTCCGAGGAGGAGCACGTCCAGTACATTCTCGACGCCATGATTGAGATTCACGGTGACGTTGCCGCCGAGCAGTACACTGGCAAGTACAACCGCCGCTGCTGGATGCTCGACCCCTACGAGAAGGGCAGTTGGGCCAGCCCCAAGGTCGGCCAGCACGAGCTTTACATTCCCGAGTACTTCAAGACCTACAGCAACGTGAGTGACATGATGAGGAAAATGAGAATTGCACGCGCTAATGATGTTTTAGATGATCTTTGTTGGCGAGCAGACCTCGTATACTCACGCTTGGATTGCCTCGGCTCTCGAGTCTGGAGTCCGTGGTGCCATTCAACTCCTTCTCGGTAAGTGAACCATGCAATAGCTTATAAAAGAGAACAATCACTAACGCCTGTATCAGAACTCGGCTTGGTTGATGAGGCCAAGGCTGCCAACGAGAAGTGGATGGCAAGATGGATCGAAGTTGTAAGTTTTCATCTCAATAGACCCATAGATATAACCCCCAACTAACATGAGATTCAGTAATTCAATAATGAAAAAAAAAGAACCACAAGATAAGCAAGAGCTTCTTGTATGATAATTATGACAGTAATGCCGGTCTTGGCGTACGATTAAAAAGTCACAAGTCATGAAATAGACCAGATTATGACACATAATGTATTAATGAAAACCTCTTTTGGATAACAAACTTGCTTCAATTGTGCTTCAAGGCTAGTGTTGTGATATGTTGTGATACATCCACCATTTCGCCGACCATGCAGTTCTGAACTCCAAACTCCTTGACAAGACAGAAACCAAGCAACCGCCTTTTTGTGTAATTCCAAGACGCTGCCGAGGATCCTGTTCTTTCCAGATCCTTTCCAACCTTCCCAAGCTCTGCTTCAGAGGCATGTCTGATGATTCGTGTCGTGGTAATCCACCGTTTCGCCATCCAATGCAATTCCCAGAAAATCAATTTGAACAAGGAAAAGAACCTTTTGTGTGATGCAATGACCTTTTTTCCCGCCGGGCTCTGGTAGGGGATGAACATCCTTCCAAAGTAAACAAGACACAACATTTCCAAGGCAAATCCCTCCCCATAATCATTAAAACAGTGGCAGGGTACCAGTAACAAGATGTACAGAAACAAGTAACATCGAAATCAGAAAGAAACAACAAAAAAGACCTTCTCTCTCTCCTTTTCTCCTCCTCCTCCCTTTTTCCCTCCTTTGGGAAGCTGCTCTGGAGCTTGTCATCTATTTAGATGATGATCCATTGTTGTAGTTGGCAGATGTTACGCCGTGAGGAGGGAACCGCTCAAAAGCCTCATCGATCCAATCGCTCAGAACGAAGTCCTCGTCGACCAAGGCAACCCAGCCACCGTCATCGTTATGATCGACAGTGGCAATGGAAGACTCGTCCGAGCTGTCTTCATCTGACTCGTCCGAGCTATCTCCGTCGTCGCCGGAGCTGTCTCCCTCGGACTCACCAGAGCTTTCTCCATCGGACTCGTCCGAGCTGTCTTCGTCTGACTCGTCAGAGCCGTCTCCGTCGTCGTCGGAGCTGTCGTGATCAGACTCGTCAGAGCTGTCACCCTCGGACTGCTCATCGTCCGCGTCGTACTCATCATCACTCCATTCCACGAGTGTGGAACCGTCGCTCTCGAAAGAGCTCTCCTCGTCGTCCCCGACGACAGTAGAGTCGGACGAACGGTCGTCCTCATCGTCGCTGGAGTCAGCGTCGATGCTCCACCCGGATGTCTCATCCTCGTCTGTGATGAAGTAATCCTCGGAATTCCACGGGGCTTCGTGATCGACCCCGGGGTCGGCCTCGGCGACGATGTGGATGAAATCATCTTCATTCTGACGCTCGCTGAAGTTCGACAGATGATCCGAACCATCTTCCGTGTCGAAATCCCAGCTCAGTTCGCTTGGTTCTATGACCCTCGTGTGCACAGAGACTTGATCGTCAAAATCCCAATTCCATGGGCCTTCGTCGGCGTCGATATGGATGAAATCATCTTCATCCTGACTCTCGATGAAGTTCGACAGATGATCGACACCATCTTCCGTGTCTGAATCCCAAAGAAGGCCAGGTTCATACCAATCTGGGTAGTCATCTTGGTTCTGGTCAACTCGTCGCCTCACGGCGTTAAAGTTGGCGTATCGCATCAAGTATCCATCCTCTGAATCGGTCTCTTCCTCCTCCAGGACCTGGCGGTCCGAGCAGTTTGTGCAGATGATCTCCACGAACCATTCGTCAATGGGGTCGTGCTCGTGAAGATTGCATTCTGGATCGATGTATTCGATCACAGCGGTCCGGCCGCAGACCGTGCATTCAAGATGCACCCTCCTCCAGATGCACATCGTGACGATGGATGACGAAGGGAGAGGTAGACAAGTGATAGTCTAGTCGATGGAGTATGACTAGAGTAGGGGATGGATGGGCGATAGTCTCGTCAAAGACAGGTGACTAGTGGGGAGGTAGGCAAGTGATAGTCTAGTCGAAGTGTTATAACTAGAGTAGGAGACGGGGGATAGTCTTGTCAAGTACCTATGACTATAGCAGAGCTAGATGAGTAACAGTAGTCTTCTTTGAGACGTATAGCCAGGGTGAGAGATATACTAGCAATAGCTTATTGATTGTATACACTCAGAAAAGATTGTAGGCAAGTAGAAGTCTTAACCGAAAGTAGAATGTGAAAGATTGTGATGTGAAGGAGAGATGGATAGGAATGCCCTTCTCTCGACTCTATGGCATCTATTTATGGCCGAATGCCCAGAGGGCAGCCTCTTGTTTACAATTCTACAAAACCTTATGATTTGTTTACTTCGCTATCCTCCAGAAGACTTCAAAGCAGAGATGAAAATACTGAGAATTGGCCCGAAATTCTCCTCGGCAACAGGCTGCAATGCATAAACCTTGGTTACCCATCACGGTGGCGATTGTACTTGTCGCTTTTGAGTATCTCCATTTTTGTGTGTATCATACCCAGGAGGTCTACTATCCGTGTTTTGATACACATATCAGGCAGCCCCATAAGGTCGTTGCCCTCTAATCGGTAAGTGAAAAGTTGGGTATCTTGAATTCATAGAGGCAACTTCATTGTGGTAGCGACCTGGCAACAGAGCTATTGATAAGTGACCTTCTCGAAGCGAGAAAGTAGACCTCCAACATATCGTACACTAACTAGAACACGTATTCTTACAGTGCTTGCAGCGGGGGCCAACAAGTATCTTGCAAACCTCACAATTTTTGACTTTTACCTTGTCGGCACAATGGCGACTCGGCTTCACCTTGTTTGTTGAGTCATGGCCTCTTCGGCCAATGCTTGCTCTTCCTCCTCAAACTTATCTTGACTGGTCGTTTCCTCGTCAACCACTCGTTTCCTAAACGGCCACACTCGACACACGACTGAACCGCCCACGCCCCTCTCGGCCGCCTCCCTACTCTCCAGCACTTCCACCTTGCCAAAGCGGTGCGCCGGTCCGCGATCATCCGGGTCCTCAATCTTGAGAAACACGCCCTGGCCCTCGGAGAGGCCCTTGCGCCACATGTCCTCGCCGAGGGCCTCTCCGCGTACAAGACGCGCAACCTCGGCGGCCGACCAGACCAGCGGCGCCGTCTTTTGGCGCTGGCTCTTGCCCAGAATGGTCTTGGCGACGGGGACCTCTTTTTCGAGCCACCAGCCATTGTCGCGCTTCCAGGCATCGTCGCGGTACCGCAGGCCCATCCAGAGCTGGCGCTTGTGCCGGCTCGTCGTGTGGGCAATGTGCATGGCGCGCAGCTCCTCGGGGGAGAACTGGGCGAGCAGGCTGGCGTCGGGCCGGTGCGCCCCCGACTCGGTCAGCCAGGTGATATAGTTGGCCCTGTACAGCGCGTCGGCCAGCGCCTTGTTGAGCGGTGTCAGCTTGCACGTTGCGTACTGTGTCCGCGACCAGATGGCTCGCTGGAGTGGTACCGCGACATTAGTGGCGAGTGGTGCCATTCCGCTCCCTAATCCTCCTGTGTCCTTCAAGATTGTTCTTCCCTTCCTGTAAAGACTGGCGCCGTTGCTGTGAAATGGCCAAGTATTGGGTGATCAGCTTCCGCTACACCCCCATGAGATTGGATCCTCCTCCTCTTCCTCCTCGTCCTCCTCGTCCTGGTGAGCTCAAATGACCAGATTCAATGAAACAACAACAAGATGCCCAGTGCCTGTAAGAATACAGCAATCTTGAATGAGTGTGCCGGTGTGGTAGTAATAAGATTGAAATGTCAAACTGATAAGCTTTTCTCAAACCGTAAATTGAAAAAGAGGCAGGGGGGGCAAACTAGAGGCTGAGTTTTTGGTGACACACCGCACGGGCCACAATAGTGGACCGACTATAGAAAGTCAAAAAGCTTCACATTTCAGCAAATTCTTGGGATGCGGCGGGCAGACGAAGTTGTGTTTAGGTAAGTTTCGAGCCGCTAAAGATGTTTAGAGCCTCTGAATGTCTGGCAATGTGGTTATTCATCTACCAAGAATATTCTCCATCATTACACATGTACTCAATTGGCTCTTGCAACCCTTTTTGGGCGTCAAGATTCATCGCCTGTGTTGAATTACATACAGGTATCTCATTATGATCATGTAAGGCTGGGTACAGCCGCTTCTCGTTATACACAAGCCAAACCAATCATTCCTACTCCCCCGTAACACCGTCCATCCACATGACTTTGCATGCTAACTGTCGCTCTACGAACCACATGATCGTGACATGCCTTCTACATAATTTTCATGATACGCATCAAGGTCTACACCTCTTCGCCTGCCACAGTCTCGTAACCGCCGCGTCCTCTTCTGCCGCCCATCTCCATGGCCACTGGGCTTTCGTATGTCTCTGTCCAGTTGACCTTTTGGCCGCCCAGCATTGCATCGCCCGGTTCCCGTCTTCCAAAAACAGGAGCCGAGTCGCACCAGAAATCTTTGCAATTTTGCACATAGCCACGAGAGTAGGGGTTCTTCTTCTTTCTCTGCTTCTTGCCTGTAGCAGCGCCTCTTCCAGTTGCTGTTTCGATGAATGTATCGACGCCCAGGATGCGACTCCACTGTTGCAAGAAGCCACGCCCATGCTTGTGTCCATGGCTGGGTCGGTTGCCCAACGGGTCATCAGCTGCGCTAGGTGGTGGACCGATGGCGCTGGGGTGCGTGGGATCGAGAGGAGCGCCAGTGCTCGTAAAGTTGTGCAATAGACCCGCATTTGTTCCATCATTAATACCATACATGTTTTCGTATGTAGTCATGGCACGAGCAACCTGGACAAACTGCACGAATAGCAACATGGAAACCCATGTCAATTGCAGTGAAGCCCAGATACCAAGAAGAATGATATAAGGATCTGTGTTGAAGACCTGGCAAAGCTTTGGGGCCAGAATTGTACATTCAGTGGTCGAGCTAGCTGGCATGGCTGAAAAGTAGTGGTAGAGCAGCCAGTCGAACGAAAGGATACCCAGCGTCAGGAAAATCAGGTAGTAGAAAAAATGGCGGTGGTTGTTGACTCCGACGCAGTTGTTGATCCAGGGGCAGTGGCTACAATTTATCAGCGGAGGCTCCAAGTGCTTGAATACATGAGTAACTTACTGGTCATGCTTTGCGACACATCTCTGGCATCGTTTGCAGTGCTTGCTTCGGAGAGGCGTTCGAATCATGCAAGATACACAAAAGTTGGACTCGTCAAACTTCCACAAGCTCAAAAGCTCGTCAATGACGGCCTTTTGTTCCGCAATGCCATTCATTTTGGGGACAAAACCAGGGTCGAATACCATGCTTGTCGCGTAAAAGTAGCCACAGAGTCCATACGCAGCAGCAAAGGCAAAGTTCAGCAGCGGGTGGTCAGAGAATGTACCGGGCAAGACGGTCAGGAACCACCCTACTCCAACAAGAAACAGAGAACCAGCAAATATACCCGCGAGCCATGGCTGTTACAGATTAGCAACTGCACCTGTAATCCTGTAATCAAGATAGTACTCACAGTCTTGTGCAAATGTCTCATGTCAGGTGGTCCGTATTCAACGACTTGCGTCGTCATCCACTGATATGAGAAACCAACCAGAAGCGCGAAAGGTAGAGATAGGAAGATTGGCAGATAGGCCAGAAGGAGCAGTTCGATCCACAAGAGCGAGAATGGCAAGAGGAACAAGAACCTGTTCATAAAGGTGCGCTTGTCCTGCAGGAAAATGGAAGCTCCGGGCCACCACGGTGTCACTGGATGACCATCCTCATCGTAGCCGCATTCCTTGAGGGCTCGGTGCCAGGCGCCAGTCGTGTTGAGGTCCTGAGCAGTGATGGCAGGTGTCTTGCCTGTTGTAGTCTTGGCAAATCTGTCCGAGCCATACTCAATAAGCTTCATGACACAGGGCGCAGAGCCCTTAACCAGAGCCCAATGCAGAGCAGTGAATCCTTGCTCATCCGTCTCGTGCACACTTGCGCCCCATCGCAGAAACAGGTCGACACAGAGCGGGTATCCCTTGTAAGCTGCCCACATGAGAGCGCTGTGGCCATAGCTATCGGCCACATCTACCGGAATGCCTTGGTGGAGCAGGAGCGTGAGCAGCATCATGTTTCCATTGAAGGTCGATATATGCAGAGTATTGTATCCCTGAGCGTCGGTAATCAAGGGATCGGCTCCATGTTGTAGCAGTAGGTTGACGGTGTAGTAGTTGGATCTCTGCGCTGCCCATTGCAACGGCGTCGCGACCGATTCGCCTCCCTTCTTGTTGATATCTGCACCCTTTTCGATCAGGAACTTGACCATAGCATACTGGTTGTTAATCGCGGCCCACTGTCAGGACTGTTAGCTTGCAGCTTTCACGGCACGTGTCGAGGCGTTGTAGAGCATACATGTAATGGCGTGATGCCCTCATCGTCAGAGTACGTGGCGTCAAAGTCGCCTTTTTCAAAAAGCTTCTCCATGGCCTGGATATTTCCTAGTCTTGCCAGCTGCATGATATCCTCTTGAGGCGGTGAATCGCCGCCGGGCATATTCCCCATCTCCATGGCCTCGGCGCTGAGTTGGGGCGCTGCAGCGCTTCCCTTGTTCGACGGCTGTATCGGGGCTCCAGCAGAGCCATTTTGAGGTGTGGCCGACATCAGTCGTGGCAGGTATGGAGGTATTCGTCGCTTCAAAAAAAGGTGTGTTCTTGATTTCTTGAAAGTTTGTCGGTAATAAGATGGTCTTTGGCTTCGGCTGGAGACTAGGAGGATGGACGAGGCCGGAACTCGGCAAGTCGGGCTAGATTACGGAGCAGATGGATGCTAAGGGGAGACGTCGCGCGAGGGTATCTAGACAACAGGAGGATTACAAATAACAATCGCCGGAGAAGCAGAAGAATAAGTAAACAGCGCAAAGAGTGATGAAGCGCCTAAAAGGCAGAGCTTATGGTGTTACAAGTGGACCCCAAGACAAGATGAAGAAGGCTTACGGCGCATAAAGGAAGAAGGGAGGAAAAAAAGTGCATGCATGTTGCTTCTCTGAACAATGCCTCGTTCGTCAGCCCTCCGTTCATTAACTGCAGAGACGAACCAGTCTCAACGACTGCCGCGCCACCGTCAAGCAACGCGCTAGAAGGAGATCGCCTTCTTCGATTGGCCTAAATTCTCCGAAGCAAGAGTTGAAAAGACAGGGGTGACGCCGTTGGGGGGAAGAATGCTTCTAGAGGGAAGCCTTAGAAGCCTCGAGCCATTGATAGCGAGGCATGTAGCCACCAGGTGCCTGTCAAAGCCTCCCGCAGCTGGCCCAAAGCTTGGCGAGCTGAACCCTGAGAGTCCCATTTTAGAGGCACCTCAGGTAGCAAAGCTCCAAGCAATGACGGCTGTTGGCGTCTCCGATAAGACCACAATCGCACCGTTTTAGGACAGCGCAGCACCATCGTGGCTCGACTTTGGACCTTTGGGATCGGCACTCTGACGGAAGTCAACAAAAATCAAACACCAACGTGTCCCTGAGTGGCCTAAATACTCGTTTTGCCTTCTCTGCAGCTGCAATCTCCAGCTTGCATCATTCTTTCTCTCTCTCCCCCCATCATGGCCAACATGGACGAGCTCAAGCAGTACCTCGAGTACATCCTGACGCCGTCGACGCCCATCTTCGTGGTGGGCGCGCTCATCGTGCTCATCGCCCCTCTGCTCGTCCACTTCTTCATCAGCCGGTCGACGCCCTACACGAGCCTACCCTCGATCCTACTCGCCGGCCCTCCCGGTGGCGGCAAGACTTCACTCTTGACACTTTTCGAACGCGGCGACAATGCCACGCCCACGCACACATCCCAAGTGCCGCAATCAATCGAGTTGACCACCTCCACCGATAACGGAGTACAGTCGTTCCGCGAGGCGGCGCACGAAGATGCCCCCGGCTCGCACACAAAGTTCATCCTCCAGGACACGCCCGGCCACGGCAAGCTGCGCGACCTGGCCATGGCCAAGATCAATGACAAGGACCCCCTCAAGGGCGTCGTTTTCGTTGTCGACGCCGCCGCCCTGGATGAGAACCTCTCTGCCGCTGCCACCTATCTCTTTGACGTTCTCCTGGCCCTGCAGAAGCGCATGGGTGTGGGCAAGACCTCCAAGGCTCCTCCCGCCGTGCATGTTCTGATTGCCGCCAACAAGACCGATCTCTTTACGGCCCTGCCCGCGTCGCTGGTCAAGAGCAACCTCGAGGCAGAGCTTGGCCGGATACGACAGAGCAGAAGCAAGGGTCTAAAGGCCTCTGGGGTTGGCGCTGACGAGCTGGGTGACGAGGACAGCGAGGATTGGCTTGGCGAATACGGCTCGGAAAAGTTCGTCTTTAGCCAAATGAGAGAATTTGACGTCGAGGTTGACGTTATTGGAGGAAGCGTGCTCGAGGGCAAGGTAGACAAGTGGTGGGAGTGGATCTCTGAAAGGGTTTGAAGACTATAAAAGTCCATTAACTCGATAATACATAATATAAATTTATTTTTGCCCAATGCGGACCAGTTTTTACTTGATATACTAGCTGTCAGCACTTGTAAGAGGTCTGACCTCGTATGACAAGAGTTATCCCCTGAAACATTCTTGGTAAACTGGCAATACCACACTGGACATGCAATTATATATTGGCTATCATTACCACAACGCATTGTCCTGCATTGACATTACAATGAGGGAGTTTCGACATGGGCAGCGAGTTTTAAGTCGACAGCAATCGAGATTTATTGCACATCATCACAGCAAAGTCCTCGAAAATGGCATCACATTCAGTATTTGATCTGATTGAGTCACGAGAGAAACTTCATGCATACCAAGTTGGCTGATAAACCTTTCTAGGACAAGCATACACCATTGCCGCAGCGGAAGTCCTTCCAATCAAGCGCCCAGGAGGAAACAAGATACCAACATAATATCATATAAACCGGTTAGAGCAAATTTATTCTGCTCAGTATTACTTATATAGGTAACTTGCTATTTCGCAAGATGAAGCCGCAGTTACATACTAGTTCTTGAAAATTAAGAGTAGGAATGTATAAAATGAAAATGTAGTCGTCCACGTTGCTGATCAATCAAATCCAGATAGTCTTTGTAATCTTCTTGCAAGCTTTTCTAGACACGAATATGAGTGGATGATTGAACTGGTAACTCAGATTTCTGTATGACCATTTCAAGGATACACGCAGTATTGCAGCTCACCTCCCGGTGTTCCTTTGCCTGCAGATTGTCAAAACGTACCGTGGTGTCATTATGCAAGGAACACCAAGAGTTTGGAGCTTCATCTTCCAACTATCAGTTTTAAAATCTCAACCTCAAAGCTGACACTCGTCTCGTTATGTTCAGGTCAAGCCTTTGAGGCGACAGTCTATGGTCTGGTCACCTAGCTTTATCCCACCTCGAGCAAAATTCATACAGTACGGAAAAAGTCTATTGGAGATGAATCATTGCGAAGCCCTTGACAATGAGAATAAGTTTTTTCGAACATTTCGCGTTGCTCAACAGCACACCGCAGATACTTTCGACTGCAAGGGGATGGCAATCATGCTCGTGGTGGCCCCTCTAAGGTGGTACTCTCGGGCCATGAAAACCTAAATGTGTAGTAACCACGTCAGTCTTTTCCTTCAGGATAGACAGCAGGCAATCATTTCAACTCAATAATTTCCCCTTATATACCTTATCAGAACATGTTTCTTTCAACATTCCACGAAAGCACAGGTCACAGTGGTGTAGTGGTTACCGCTCCGCTCCTAGAAATCTTGTCTCTCTCCCTGGCTGGGTTCGCCCTCCCCCAGTCTTTTTGTTCGATTACCCATATTTGCTTCCTGTTTTTCTTTTTTTAGTCTCAATCCAAGCTATCACTCTCTTCCAAAACAATCAAATCTCAAGCATTACTGAGTAGAGAAATTCATTTCATGGATATATTCGCCAGTTCTTCGCTTTGAATCATTTGCCAAGTAAAAATATATGTGATCGACATGAATTCGCTGGAATGACCAGCTCCTCGTTGTGCAAATAGATCTTCTTCACTATCTACAGCTTTGTATTGCTCCATATCAAAGTCTCTCCAACCTGTTACCCCTCCTTTACAGAGTCTCAAACTTGTTGATGAGCTTGACGATCTCCCCGGCCAGTTCCTCTGGGCGACTCTCAAAAGGCATGTGTCCCGACTTGAAATCAACAATCTCCCATTCCACTTTTGACTTTTCAATCCACATATTTTGGAGAACGTATGGGTTGCAGTTGTCGTCCAAGGTGCGGATATAGGCCCTTTTGCCATCAAAAGCCGCGTCGGCCCACGCGGGCGCAGACGGCTTGCTCTCAAACGCGTGAAGTGCGTGAGGCTGCATGTTTTGGGACAGTTTGAGCTCGAGGCCGGGGTCTAGGTCGTTGTACAGGATATCCATGGCCGGCTCTATAATGGCAAGACCCTTGTCCGGCTGTAAAAAGTCATATTGTTAATAGTGCACCAATCATGTTTGCGTGGTGCAGTATAGAGATGCGATTGTTCTTTTCTGCATCGTCATTTCGCCCGAATGGGGACTAAGGGGGCTTATGGATATCTCTCATAATCTCCAACTTACCTTTCCGACCTTGATAAACGGAGGATAGGCTCCACCAACCGCCTCAAGCAGCGTCTCGTTTTCGAGCGTAATATTTCCAACCATGTAAATGAGACCCACGACGCCGCCCTCGAGACCGGCAGCCGCGCGACTCGGCCGGTCGAGACCCCGGGCCGCCGCGCCGCCCACGACACCGCCGTACGAGTGCACCAGGACGACGACGTGCTTGCCGGCGTCCAAGAGCGGGAGCAGGACGTGGTCGCGGACGTGGGCAATGTCCCGGGCGCTGCTCGCCGTCGCGGGGTCTGTGGGGTTGCAGCTGGGATAGGCGGCGCCGTGCGTCGTCAGGCCGGCGGCGTGCAGGTGCTTGGCCAGCTTGTCAAAGCCGGCCGGGGTGCCGAATGCGCCGGGCACAATGACGATCTCTGGTTTGCTGGACATTTTTCTATTCCAGGAACACAATGTCGTTTCAGGTGTATGTATGAGTATAAATTAGACTAGGTTAGGTGAGATCGGTTCGCAATTGCAGATATAGTCAAAGGGCATTTGTAAGAATCATTAATCAGATGTTCAAGATGACGGATAAGCAGAATCTCTGTTGGGACAGCAAAAATACTAGGAGCATAACGCGTGTTGGTAATGTCGTGGCGATCCATACTTGAACCAATGCATAGGGTATCGAATAGTGGTTCGTAGTCGTCCATCCACTCATGATCAGAGTAAGATGTTATGCCTAGAAGGACTCAAGTTCCTTCAACCCACTATTTTATGTAACGACTGGCGAGACTGGTGCAAGTCCAATCACGGCCGGTTATAAGTATGCCCCCTGCGCTGTTGGGCGTAGATTTCGCACTGTGGGATTCCCCATCATCATGTACCCAACAGCGGCATCGGTCCGATGGTGATCCCTGCGTGTCCCGTTCGTGGTTCAGTGGTGGACGGATGGATCTCCGGGAGCACCGTTCCGTTGCTCCGTATGCTTGACATACCTCTAGTACACAGTAGCCCTTCAAGTCCAGGACAGGACATATAATTGCCGAGATGGTAATACCTACATTCCTTGTTTCTAGGACGGGCCACTTCCTTCATTATGGAGAGGAAAATGGACGCCATTCTTTCTCATTATTCTATATTTTGAAGCCAAGGATCCTCTATACCTGTCCGACAGTAGAAACTTTGCTCAGATTCTCAAACTCTGGATTTGTCTGGCTTCTTCCATCCGGTCCCACAAGTCTTCCTCATGATATTTCATGAATTAAATACAAGTGTAGCCTCCATCAACAATAATGTCGGATCCAGTGGTAAAAGTACTAGCATCCGAAGCCAAGTACAAGTAGACACCCTTGAGCTCCCTTGGGTCCGCATCTCTCTGCATTGGCGTGCGCTTGTACCACTCCTCCTTTAGCGATGACGGGCAGTCGTCCGAGATGGGCGTGTTGATATATCCGGGACTGACACAGTTGACTCTGGCAAAGCCGGCCCATTCCACCGCCAGGGACTTGGCGAGGTGGATTACGCCAGCTTTGCAAGCGTTGTAACATGCCTAGACTTGTGATTAGCCTGAGTGTATGGCGAAAAAGAAGAGGCACCGTCACCCTCCCTTGGTCTGGGAAATTTTTACCTGTAGTTGAGGAACATTTGCGATATGGCCACTCATTGATCCCGTAAAGATCAGATTGCCCGATCCTTGTTTGCGAAAGATTTCTCCCGCAGCACGCGCGCAGTAAAAGGCACCGTGGAGGTCGATATCCACGATGCGATGATAGTCTTCCAGCTTGTCATCCAGACCTGCGGCGCGCGATGGCTTGCCCGCGTTGGCAACCATGACGTCCAACTTGCCAAAGTCCTTGACGACCGTGTCCACGACAGCAGAGACCTTTTTTGTGATTCGACATGATTAGTCTACGATCGGAACCTGGCAAAAGTATGCAGAGAGAATTAGAGCATACCTGGTCAAAGTTGGAGACGTCGCATTGGTAGGCACGGCACTTGACTTTGAAGTCATTTTCGATGGTCTCGGCCTGCTTCTGCGCCGTGGACGATGAGTGGTACCAGAGGGCGACATTGGAGCCTGCTTCTGCCAATGCTCGGGCGACCTCGTATCCAATGCCTCCAGAGCCGCCAGTGATGATGGTGACCTTGCCGGTCATGTCAAACATCTTGAAGACGCTGTCTTGCAGCGGAGGATCGGCTCGACGGATGGAGGCCATGGTGATTTCTTTGTCAAAAGGGTGATTTGGAAAGGTATGGAAGGGAAGATGGAATGAGTTATAATCAAGATGACTTGGAAGATGTCTTTTCTTTCTTCCATGAGCAGGACATTGACAAAGATATTATATAGCTGCTTAAGGAGGGCTCGACTATAGCGACAGGCAAGAGAATGGCGAGAAACGATTGGACCATCGGGCCCACTTACTTTCTACGTTTGTGAGGATAGTCTGGGAGCCCTTTCTTGAAGGCAGCAAGTGGGGCCGACTTATATAGTGTAGAGCAAGCGGCGGTCAACTCTGACGATTGTGGGCCAGGAGCACCGGCTACTTTGGATACTATTGACGTGGACTTGTTCTGACGTTTCATGCGTAATGAACTATTTGGATCGTTGTCGAAATGTTCTGTTTTACCCCTGAGTAGGATCACATATTCAGTTAGTACTTACGAGCATGATGGTAGCGCCGGAACGGTCCGCCATCTATCAGCATGGTGTTGTAAGCAAAGGTGCGTTTCTCCCGATGGGCAGCATGTCAAAACTTGGCTTGAATGATACCTACTGTGCCTGGAGCATATCATTTGATCGTGACCAGCAATACAAATATCCAATGGCATCATCCAGCAACGTGATGCAGATAGACTCGTGTGGAACTTGTATTGTGTCATTGGAAGCTTTCTACTTGCGCTGGTGCTCAATATTTTTGTGCCTCCTTAGTGTGCGTGGTGCCAAAGTGCCACAACCCCAAACCCTTGGCATATAGCGGCTCTCCTCATCACAACCACTGTCTACGAAGTTGTTCAATAGTCGCCAGTGTCGGGACGCCATAGACTACCCTGGCGATATCCAATATACCTTCTGCTGCATCTCGCTCCTGTGCATTCCCAAAGCGCTCCCCGCACATTGAGAGCGCCAGGCTAGCAATGACTGTGGCGTTGTGGAACTGCTGGTTGGAGTGTCCTATTGAGCAAATGTAGCGCAATGCATCGACTATCTCGGCCTGCAAAAGCGAGTCAATAGAGACATGCATAAGAGAAGAGTATCGCTACTCACGTTGACCTGGGACATGTACTGTTGGCGTTGTGGGCCAAAGAGGACAGCTCGCGGATTGTACGACAGCAAAACAATCCTGGTTAGATACCAATGCTGGAGTCCAAATACTAAGACTGTGTATTAGCCTTGGGAAAACTCAGACCATCGGACTCCAGTCAATATGGTCATACCGACAGAGGCATTCAGAAACCTCAATTTGGGCCAGGGATGGCTTTCGGGGTTGTCGGATTTGAATATGGGCTGAAAGGACACTGGGCTTTGGAGCATCCACGCTGAGCACTGTTGCACAAGGTCATCGTATTCCGCAATCTGGCGATCGCGGTCGGCAAAACACCAGTTCAAAGTCCTTGCCAGAATCAGAAACATGCGGTACGACCAGTCCCTGTCCGGACTGAGGGGCGAAGATTCATCCAAGAACTTGTCGAAGCGGTGCAGGTCCAAGGATACGGCTCGATTGGTGAGAAATGCGATGCGAACCTCTTGCCGCAATCCCAACCACTGAGCCGCGACTTGCAAGGGTGACACTTGCTGCAGATCAGCCGAAGCATCAATGAGCACTTTGGCTCCAAACAAGTGAAAACTGATATCGAGACCGGTAAGTGGTTCTACGAAAAGGCTGATGAGCACAATCCTAAGCAATTAAAAAAATACAGGGCATAACTACCTCCAAACTCTTCCCAAAACCGAAGAAGAACCGTTGTTGCCATGATGTTATCATTATTTGAGATTCCAGGGAGTCGTAAAGTCGGTGTCAGCGCCTCGATGCTTCGTTGGTAGTAAGAGTCCGAAATGGAGGCATCCAACGAGGCGATCGCGCTCAGGTGCTTTGAAGCTACGGCGAGGACTGCCATCAAGAGGGCCGCGTCATTCATGGCGCGACGTGGTACTTCATACGCAAAGAGGCAGAGGGCATCGTCGATATCAATCTATGAGAATCACTTTAGTAATAGGTGACTAGCTTTGCTCGCCTGGGACAACTGACCCAGGGCGCCACGTGTTTCACGAAATGCTCAATGTAGAAGACCTCTTGCTCATTCAACACCGTGGTTTTGGTCGCAGTACTGTCAGGGTCGACTCTTTCAGTCTGTAGAGCTTGAGTTCTGAGGGCGTTCGGGATGTTAAATGGTTCCCGTGTGCCTGTGTCTGTCTCGATAATCGTCTCAAGTGACATGTATGAGCTTCTATCAGTGGAGCGGGCATCTGTATACACGGTCAGCGGCTCTCGAAATCAGTGTTGATTCGACAAGATATCAACACAGCTGGATGCCGACTGCTCACCTTCGACATATGTCTGGTGCTCTTGAGCCCGATCACCTGGGGGGTATGGTTCCGCGGTCGTCAATCGTGTAAATGGGTCGGCTATTGCAGCGGCTGAGCTGTTGTGAACTTGTAATGTGTCGTCATGATCAGGATCAGGAATGTTGGCAATGACTACATGATAGTCGTCGGTAATGAGTGCAGTCTCATCAACTAGCCTCACTTTGAACAATCATTAGATACTGTGGCCTTTGTCAATCCGATATCGAGCCTACTTACAAGGTAGCTGAATCGGCAGCCAGTATTGGTTGTCGGGGAATTTGAGCCTAGCATGCGAGTTTACTTCTATAATAATCATACAGGTGAAAAAATTACGTACGTTGTCTCTTGCTTGACAATTATTTGCGTTGAAGTGCTACTATATGTGCAGAGCCGAGAACAGTCCAAACAGCGCTGGCAAGAAGGATGCTGTTTATCGCCTGCATGAGGGTCAACTTGGCTCATGAGAATAGTTTGCAAATTTTGCAACGAGAGAATGAAATGCTCAAGTCTGATATATTCCCTACATTTTAAATGTCTTTCCCTACAATTCTTTTGCGATGGTTAATCACATGTACAGAAGGAGTATTGATCCTTGACGACCTACTATGCAGGCAGAGCCACTGGCTGTGTTGGCAGCAGCAGTTTCTGGGTGCTGGGCCATAGAGTATGGACGGCAACTTGTAATGGATTTACCAGAAGCCGTAACGTAGCCTTGGCATCAATACACAGGTAGGTAGGTATCGCTTTCAGATACGATCTACGGTAAGACCCCGACCTTGACCTTCTAGCCAAGGATCAGGTCTGAATGCTTTTGTTGCGTGCAGCATTTAGGGGGGGCCACGCTAATGGTCAAGGGGGCAGTGAGTGAAGTGATAGGGTAATCCTCGGGCGTGGCCTGTGCTGGATAGCGCTATAGTTTTAGCTATGTGGTACGTAAGAGTAAAAATTATCCCAGAGTGAGCAAGACTCGTAGGTACTAAATGACAATACATTAGCACGCTTTTCCAATTGCCCATAGTCGAAACCTCGTGCTCGAGATATCATGTCAACATGGATGGCTTTTGAGGAGGAGGACAAGAATGACCACATTCGCGCCACTACACTTTCCAGTTGCTCTACGCATGCCCAACAGTAGTAGTGCTTATAGTACCCAGGCCATGTCCCCAACCTGAAGATTCCATCTGGAACCTAGCCGCATATTAAATGCCAAACGAACAGGCAGTCGCAGGACGTATGTCCGTATAAACATCGTGACGGGGAAGTTCTACCTCAAAACCTTAAATCTTAGCAGGTGGCTCCAAGAAGATGCAACAGGCGAATGTGTGGACGCCCGGATAACTTCCCTATCCCTTCCTTCTGCCTCCATTAATGAATGCTCTGCATGGATACAATTAACCTAGACAAAAAAAAAAAAAAAAAAAAAAAATACATAGAAAAAGTTGCCATTTGGGGCAGTGGCAATGCAACGACTGAGATACGATATCTTTTCAGACTATTCTACCGATCTTTCGCTTTGATCGCTAGGCATCAATTATTTCCAAGACTGGCAGTACGTACGCGAGTCGTCACAGACTGGACCCGCGCCGACATAAGGCTATCCGAAAATAAACACGAAAAGCACGTTAAAATCAAGGTTAACGTACGACGCGTATCCAAAGACAGGAAGTTCTTGTAGAATCTGCACATGGAGTACCTCTCTTGGCAACGCCTTGAGAGAAAAGAGAAAGAAAATTGGTGCCTGCCTAGTATCGAGCAGCGTCCCAGGTAGGTGTCAAGTTTTAACAAGGCGACATCTCCTGGCTAAGAAGAGCCATGTGGATCCCAACGGCAAGATTTGCGACTGGTTGACGGTTTTTTTTTTTTCGCATTCGCAGAATCCGAAAAATACCATTGTCCTCGTCTCCACAGTTCCAACGGCGGCTTGACGTTTGTGTGTAAGTCAAATTCAATACTGAAGATCAAGGCGGTGCCCCAAGGATGTGTTTGGTCAATCACGGAAATTTATTACATGTCTGAGGAATGATCCGAGTTGGTTTTACGATAAATATTTCGTCTCTCTCTCTCTCCTCACTCTTGCGCAATTCCAATCCAGACCGATTTCTCGTTGCAGCAGTACCTTTCAATCATTCGTTCTGTATTTTGAGCCTTGAAATAATCTCCACTATCACACCCAAAGTAGCTCGAATAACAAGACCGCCAACATGAGCGACGATGGCCCCTTTGGACCCGTGGTCAATGGCACCATGATTGTCTTTTACGAGTATCGGCCAAACAAGCCTGCAGCGCTCTCCTTCATGGCCTTGTTTGCTTTGGCCACGCTCGGGCACCTCGTCTACTTCTTTCGACTCCGGGCTTGGTATTTCATCCCGTTTCTGCTGGGAGGCATTGGTAAATGCGACCCTACAAGTGTTATTCATTCACTGCAGAAAAATAATCTGACATTTCTATACAGCCGAAGTATTTGGATATTATGGACGATATATGGCTTCTGACGAGCCCACAAAAGTTGGACCGTTCATCATGCAGAATCTCCTCATTCTCGCAGCTGCGCCCATGCTCGCGGCCACCATTTACATGAGCACTGGCCGCATCATTTTGGCGCTTGATGCACGCGAGTTTACCCTGATCAGTCCTCGGTGGCTCACCAAGCTTTACGTCTTGATCGACATTGGTGCCGTCGTAACGCAGCTGATTGGTTCCATTCTGCCAGCTTCGGGCAGCGAGAGTGCCATTGCATTGAGTCGCAAGATCATTCTGGCCGGACTGATTACACAATTTTCCGCACTCGCCTTCTTCATCGTCCAATGCCTCATTGTGCATCGAGGAATCAAGAAGAACCCAACGAGCGTGGTGCTGGCCATTACCTCGGTCAATTGGGAAATTCACTTTTGGATGGCCGAGTTGGTCATTGTGTTGACCATTGTTCGAAGTGTGGTCCGCGCCATCGAGTATTTGCAAGGCGACGGTGGCTTTGTCATTTCGCACGAGATATTCATCTACGTCTTTGATGCCGCCATCATGTGGTCGGTCATGATGATATATCTGATCATCCACCCCGGCAGATTGATTCGGGACGCTCGGCGGCTGAAGAACCATGAATGTACTAGTGGCGAGCATGTACCGCTGGATTCGCGGGCTTAGAGAGGCGAATTTCGGCACTCTCCTGTATAATTAAGAGACCAAACAACCCAAAATTCTTGCTCAAGGTGGACCGAAAACGTGACTTTTGACATGCGAGCATGGTGCGATCGTAGCTGGTCAATTTGCGCGAGTCAATGTGAATAGATGACTACGCAGACTTGGCCAACTGTCCAGAGCCCAAACTCGAGAGGGAGCAGACTCACGACTCTGATAACTCGATCACCTCGAATCGTCCAAAGCAGAGACTTTCCAAAAGTAATTATTTCCAACTTCTAAGGCGGGAGACCAACTTGTATTCGTGGCCACTCCACCCATTTCCTATGCTCTTTGTCGAGCATTCTGCTCGTGTTTTCTAGCAGGTGCTCAGCCCACCCATCCATGAACCAACACTTTTTCAAAGTAGTGAGAAGCTGTGCGAAATGGGCAAGAAGCAACAGAGGTATTGGGTCCTTTTCGCGAACACGATCGACAAAGGCGTCGTCCATGCGATACATCCATGCAAAAACCATTCGATTGTAACCAGGTCCATGGTACTCGCCATTTTCATCGCCATATGTACCCTCGTAGATGGCGGCCAGAATGTCATACTCTTTCAAGTATACATCGCGGTGACTGCTAGAGCTGGATTTAACCAAATCACCCAACTCTCCGATATGTTTTTCCCAGTCGACGCGTGGGAAATCCTCTCGAAGGCACTGCGCGCGAGAATCTGGAACCTCTGGGCTTTCCGAAGGCCCGAGGGGCGACATGAGTCCTGAGAAGAGTATGTCGGCGTCAAAAATTTCTCGGATCAGGCGAAGACCCTTGATCACAGGCCACCAATTGTGCGCTATTTGATCTTCAACTCTGCAAATCAGCAGATCGTTGGGCCCTTTTGGGCCTGCAGCAAATGTGCAATAGCAAACCATGGTGGCAGACACGTCCAGGGCACCACAATTGGACTCGTTTGCATTCGCTAGAGCTTGCGTGAATGCCGCCAGGCCATGTTCGAAATGGTACTCGGCCTGTCGTGTATAGTCCCGACGCTGCGCATTGTCGGAAGCCTCCAGGTAGGCCAGGTGGTAGGACGACACTGCAAACACTAGATTGAGGACGAAGTGGTGCGAGATGCCGATTTTCGGCACATTGAAAGCCCAGAAATTTGTGATCTTGTCTTTGCGAGACATGGTGCCGGACAGAGAGCCAGACGTATACGCCGTGAAATGAAGCATAAGCTCAATATTGGCAGTATTGAGCGTGTAGGGATCGTGTATCGCCTCTCTCTTCTCGGGCACACCGGCTTTTGGCACCGCAGATAGAGCGTTTGCTTCTGTAAACTCTTGCAACCAATCTCTCCTCGGCCGTCCACGGCCCCGCCTGCGACTGGGTATTGCAGTGTCTTGCGACCTGGTCTGCTGGTTGCCGCTCGTCACACTCCCTGAGCTGCTGGCATGAATGGCGGTGCCCTTGAAATCGCAAGGCAGGCCGAAGCGGAGGCAATTGGTACATTCTGGCTTGACCTCATCGCACTTGATAGGCAGCTCATCAGTCCTGCAGGCACTTGTAACCCGAGCATGTGACGCGTAGTGCTCACCTTGACCTTTCTACGTTTGCAATTCCTGACTGCGGATCAGCAAAAATGTACAGGGGTGCTACAAACACATGAGATACTTACCGGCATCCATTTCTTGACTTTCGATGGGATTTCCTAGGCCTTGTGGTGTTGGCGGCCGGGCTGCTGTCGTCGGTTTTCTCGCTCATGGCCGCAGCAGTTGGTGCATGAAATAGCAGCTCAACCACAGAGGTCTGCTGCTTGTGATCGACTGAGCAACAATCTTAACTTATCTGAGCCGCCGCCGTTGACTTTTACGATCGGAAAGTAACGTGTTTGCTGGTGGAAGCTCCGTGTATAGTCTCTCTATGCACGCTACCCTCGTAGGATTCAATTGATGAGGTACGGCATTGCCGACTCAAGGGGTTGGCTAAAGTGTTGGTAACGTAAAAAGCTAGAGTGCAAAGGAGGCTGAGCGGTAGGTCCTCCTGCAGGTACTGGTACCGCTAAAAACGGCACTAAATCCGTCGCCAATTAAACATTTGGGATGGACACCCGTCAGCGCCCTCATCTTCCCCTGGCAAGCTGGTTAAGCACCAGGCAGCACTTTTACCACAGTTGGGTGGGTATATATTTCAAAATAGTAATTGTATAATATGCACAGGGAATAACCACGTTTCTTTTTTCTGATTTTGGTCAATCAACTTCACATGTGCTACAAATGCATTCAGCTTACAACCCGAGGAACACGTAACTCATGCCACATGCCTCAGTGCTCGCAGATGCCTATTATTACAGTCTGCTGTGTGGAAGTCGCCCGTTTATTGCTAACATCAAAGGCTGAATTAATAAAAGCGACTGGATCCGCATCGCATGGAGCCATCTTTGATTCTTCAGTAGTATTTACTCTATTAAATTAACGACACGGCCCTCTTTTGGTCAGTCCCAGGGATCCTCATGGCATGGAAAGTTGTTTGCATTGAACGCGACCATGGATACCGACATCACTGGTCAAATGCTCTGCATCCAAGCCAAAGCCTATAGTTGTCATAATCGTAAGAGTTAAAATCTCTAGACCTTCTGTACTTGAAAATGTATACATTTTGTCTATTGTTTGTGACCTATTGTAGGTATACGTCACTCATGCATGTATAAACTCGATACTTCGTCATGGACTTCGTTCGTTTTGCACGGGCTGCGCAACCATGTTCATTGTACAACTTAAAGATCTCCCTGAACACATTCCGCCTTTGCTACAGTAGACAGACATGAATTCCAAAAAGTGATGGTGCATATGGACCTATACTCAAAAGCCCCACCGATTTGGACAGACAGCAACCTCGACCATAATGCGCACGCCATACTGTGTCTAACTAATTGAGGCTTCGCTACCTTTTACATAGTAATGTGCCTAAACATCCAGCTCAGCCTGTGAATGGTGGAATTATCGGCAGTCCCACGCCTGTCATCGGATTATTCTTGCCAGCATTTCAATACAACTGACCAATGCCGGCACGAGTTTCAAGACCCCCCAAACTCGCCTTTCCCTACTGATGGTGGGGTTGTTCGTTACAGAAGATATTGAAACAGTTCTCGACCTTTGGACTCGCCATTCAATTGACGCATCTCATTGGGTCGAGCGGATAATCTCAACGTCTGCCAGGTCTCATTTATGTGAAGCAAGCTGCCCCCCCTCGATCTGGGGGCTGCCCCTCCATCAACCCGCACTGCCTACCCCGACAATATATGGGCCAAGTAAATAATAGCTGGAGGCGGGGTGGCATCTCGCGTCCAAGATAAACCGATCGCTGTACAGTCGGGACGTCACTATTTTTTTTTTTCTCTCCCTCTGCGATATTTTTCTCCGTCTGTACTTTTTCCTCTTCTTGTAGCTTGCTAAACATTACACTCTGAAACTCAACCTCACTGCCATACTCATTCCCCAATCATAATCCTCCAATCAATCCCTTCAACATGCCCCAGTACGACCAGTATACCGGCTTCCAGGTCAAGTCCCCCGAAACCTGGACCGAGTTCCACAAGAACGAATTCGACGTGAAACCCTTTGGCGATTATGATGTAGAGATCAAGATTGAGGCGTGTGGCGTTTGCAGCAGTGATGTCCATACCGTTACTGGAGGTTGGGGTGACCAACACTTTCCCTTGGCCGTCGGACACGGTAAGAAAGCATATTGACATTTTCACCTTTCCACTCCCTAGTAAGAAAATAGGTTACTGACAATAAGCGCCATACTTAGAAATCGTCGGCAAGGCTCTCCGTGTCGGTCCCAAGGTCACCCTCATCAAGGCCGGCCAGCGTGTCGGCGTGGGCGCCCAGTCGTGGTCGTGTCTCGAGTGCCGCCAGTGCAAGAACGACAATGAGACGTACTGCGCCAAGCAAATGGACACGTTCGGCGCCGTCTGGCCCGAGACCGGCATCGTCACCCAGGGTGGTTACTCTTCGCACGTGCGAACACACGAGCACTGGTGAGTCGGAGTCGTCCCTCGCCTACCCAAAGTTGGGGCTATATAAGTAGGCCATGTTATTAACACGCAAGCCGTAGGGTGTTCCCCATCCCGGATGCGATTCCAAGTGAGCTCGCCGCACCCATGATGTGCGCCGGCATTACAATGTACAGTCCTCTGGTCCGAAACGGCGCCGGGCCGGGCAAGAAAGTTGCCATTGTGGGGTTGGGAGGGCTTGGACACTTTGGCGTCTTGTTCGCAAAGGCTCTCGGTGCCGAGACCTGGGTCATTTCGCGTACGCACAGCAAGGAAGAGGACGCCAAGAAGATGGGTGCCGATGGTTTCCTGGCCACCGCCGACAAGGGCTGGAACGAGCCTCACAAGTGTAAGTGAAAGAATTGCGCCCCTTTTGTCATGCACCTTGCAGTATGGCTAAACAAATATTGCGACAGTGACCTTTGACCTCATTGTCTCAACTGCCAATGCCTTTGGCGAGGAATTTGATCTGAGCGCCTACCTGTCCATCCTCGATATCCACGGCAAGTGGATCTCGGTCGGTCTTCCGGAGAATGAGACGCTCCAGATCAAGCCGCAGGACCTCATCTCCAACGGTGTCCTCATCGGCTCGTCCCACCTCGGCAGCCGGCGGGAGATGCTGGAGATGCTCAAGTTGTCGGCCGACAAGGGCATCAAGTCGTGGGTTGAGACTGTCCCCATCAGCGCCGAGAATCTCGGCAAGACCATGCAGAGGTTGCAGAAGAATGACGTGCGCTACCGTTTTACCATGGTCGACTATGACAAGCAGTTTGGCGCATAGATGAGTGCACATCCCAATTTGGTTCCTCAAATATCGAGACGTTTGTCGACAGAATGAAATTGATAAAACTACGTCAAAATATGTTTCCTGAAATCATGAATTGAATTATATCAGGTATCATAATAAACACAAATTGATGAATTCACTGAGCGCTGACTCTATTCTATACTCATCGAGATCCTCTAACGCCGTCTTTCCCAGTCCTCCAAATCCGTATCCCGGTGATTCCCATTGTGCGCTTCATAATCTATGACGTCGTCAAAATCAGAGCCCGTCGACATGTAGCTCGCTCTATGAGCATTTAGGAACCCGCCCTGCTCGGGGCTCTGAGGCATCTCCATCTCGCCCCTGGATAAGTAATCGCCAGGCGTCTCTACAACCTGCGTGTGGAGATGGTGATGAACTTTCGTGTGCGTGCCATTCTCATGCTCGACGACAATGCCGCGCGGAGCCATGTCGTGCAACGCAAGGTTACTCTTGAGGTCAACCTTTTGCTCCTCTACCTCCCGGTACGTTCCCCGACCGACTACTCTACCCACAGTCCCAAGGACTGGCGGGTGTGGTACGTGGGTGAGAACGAGCACCGTAAAGTAGGACAGCAGAATCGAGGGGAGCATCCAAGACGAGCCCATAAAGGTTTCCATGTACGTCTCGTTAGTCGTCAGGAGGGGAACAAGGGACAGGCCCGTGGCGAGGGCCAGACAAATGGCCGTGCGGGCGACGTTGAAGATGGTCCAGCCCTTGCGCTTGGAAATGATGTGCATAATGGTCAAGAACATGAGAACGATTCCGGCACAAGCAAATGCATACACAAACTATTGGGTGAGGTCAGTTCACATCCCTTGCCTGATACCCTTCTCAAAATGGGTGTCTTGTTTGAATTGAATGACTTACCACGAGAGAAAATCGAAGACCAATGGCGTGGGTGGCCTGTGTCTGTACATACTCTCCGTGATCTTCCGTCGCGCTGGTCTCTGTCTCTACTTCGGCTTCAATGCCGAACGCATTGTAAACAGCATTGACCATGGTATACAGCAACTCTTGCAGCTCATTTAGCCAGTGCTCATAATCAGCGTCATCCGCGGCTGAGTCTTCTGTCCAAAACGAATTTGGCAGTTCCGCGATATCGCTTAAACTCTTATTGACGCCCTGCCAAGCCTCGAGCACGTCGGCCGGCTGATACTTTGTAATAAACGGCTTAACAACGTCGCCGAGCGCCTGAGAAACTTGTGCCGACGTCGGCTCGTCGGGGAGCTTTTCCGTCACGCTAATGAGCTTGTTGATGGCCACGGCAACGGATTCCTGCACCCGGGCCCAGATGACAAACTGGTTCGAACCCTCGAGGAGAAGAACCAGGGCAATATGGAAGGGAAGGTGCAGACTTGCCCACCATACTTGATGTCGTGTCGACATGGAATCTTCCTCATGCATCCAGTCAAAGTACAGTTGAAAGATAATGTATATGAGCGCAGCAGACGAGGTCACGATTCCGATGAGGGAAGAACCTGTTCGTGTCAGAAGCTTTCATGATTTCCCGACAAAGACGTTTTACTTACTCCAGTATACGAGCTTTGCATCTTTCAAGTAGGTGTCCTTTACCACGAGTGTGACATTTTTGGCCAGAATAATGGCACCTTGGCAATAATTTTAGCATCCATGTTTTACGTTGGGAGGGTTTATTGAAAATGTACCTTCTCCAAGGACGATCAAGGTGAGGAGGTTCAGGCGTTCTCCCATGTGCGTGCCGACAAATGTCAAGATCTCACTCATCTGCGACCAACTGAGATGGAGCGCCATCTCAGTTATGCCCACGATATACCACACTATATAGACACGGCTGTTTTTGCCCTCGGCATACCGAAACGATATTCCGCAGTAGATGGCGGCTGCAACAAAGTGCGTAGCTGCCGTCAGGAGCATGTGTCGACTGCCCACGGCATATTTGCGAATCTGCCACGCAACTAGTCCATACTGGAGGGTTAGGGCGAGGCGCGAAAACATGAGAAAAAAGGACATGGCCCGGAAAATGGCTTGGATCTGGTGGTCGGGGTCAAAGGCTGTGCCAATCTCGGCAAAGCCCACCATGACGCCGAGATGGACGGCTTTGCAGCATCTTTCCAGCACGCTGTCGGACGTGAACCGGACATCGTACAATGTGGTGATGAGCCACGTCGTCCAAAGAAGTCTGCACTCGTGATTAGTACTGATTTGCGAATCGTCGTCGACGAAAAAAAAAAAAAAAAAAACTCACACATAGTATCCGATAAACGACTGTAATGACTTGAGTGTAGAGATCTCATGCACACTCGAAAAGACTGATAGGTTCGCCACGAACCAAAGATCGTAAAATAACTGTCCAGAGTCAGGATATCAAGTCGTGGTATCCAGTCAGGTAGAGCTTCTCACCTCAAAAGTCGTTGCTGCTTCATTCTATGGTCTCGGTTCAGTCAATGCTCGTTACACTTACTTCCAGGCAAACTCACTTTACAAAATTCGGGAACATCACGCAGCGGCCTCTTTCGTATCAGACCGTCGGCGCCCTCGTAGGTATTATCTCGGATATTCTCTGATGGCTCCACTACCCGAGTGCCGACCAACCGCAATCGGGCATTGGCATAGTCCTCATCCGAGGACGGGTGGGTGGCGTGCGGCATAACGGGGAAACCTGATTATCTCTTTTTATTCGTCTACCACTCAAAAGATATCAAGGAAAAAGCAGGCAACAGGAGAAGAAAAAGAAAGCATACGAATCCCACAGAAATTACACGAGAAGTGCAGAGAAAAGGCCAAGAGAGAAGGAGGCTCGTAAAAGTAGAGAAGATATATTACGAGCTAGGTGGAATCAACTAGCCAACGCCGCAACTACTCGAGAGCCGGGGGAGATTTCTCTCCTTCAACGCGCCCAGACCTCAAAGGCGGTGGGCCAGCCAGCCCGCCAGCAATCGTGGTGAAAGCTTCTCGTCTTATGCCAAGACACGCTATCTTTGTAATTTGCTTGGGGGTGTGGTTGTTTGTCCTTTCCCGGCACTTGGATGAAATGAGATCGTGGCTTCTCTCGCGCCCAATGGGCAAAGATCGATGTGGGTTCCCGCGGCCGCTGGCTCGTAATGGGGTTGGTTTACTGCGCCCAAATCTCGTTTGAAAAGAATCGTTCCTACCTAGTCATCACAGCAGCGGACAAAACAAACAGTCCTGGAATAAGGCTGAGCAAAGCTGAATCGAATTGTTTTGAGGGGTCTGGGCGCTCCGCGAAAGCAATAGCCAAAGACCCTTTGATCCATAAATTTCCCTATACAGTTGGGTGATTGAGTCTAATCCATCCCCCGACTGGGGTCTAATCAACACCGGTCCCAGGACTACAATCTTAGCGGCTTCTTATTTTTAGCATTTCAGCACTTTGGGCTTCCCCCGGCTCCTTGTTCCTACTTCAATTTTGACTTGCAAAGAGACCTGAAATTATGAGGCTTCTTGCGGCCGTCTTGGTTATGGATCTTCGTTGATGATGTGCGTCAATCTGATATCCTGGGGTTAGCGGTAGCTATTCTAAGCATGCTCCGGGGGCATTGCGCCGCAACGGTTGGGAATTAATACTCCCTGTGCCAGCAATCCCGGAAAGAAAAACAGCAGACGAAACGTTCTTCTAGACACAACCGATTTCCGTGTGTTTTCCCGTGTCGGATGCAGGGTTTTAATTGAGCGAATATTGGAGACATTGCGAATGCATAGGTAGCTTCTGTCAGCATCTCGCACTCAATCATGAACAAGAATCATGGGAGGGAGTGCGACGTCCAAAAACTCAGCTACGTTACTGCTAATATACCGGATCGGTCATGGCTGTGTTTTAAAATGTCGCCGGGAGCAAGTAATGGCATTTGTCTTGTGTACGCAACATCTTTGCCTCGCAACATTTTGAGATATGTCCACCAATAATGCAGAATACCTCTTCGCATCGATCTAGATGGAATTGAAATGACTGAACTGAGAACCTCAATGGCGACTGTGTTCAAAAAGATGGGCATGTTCATTCGATTAGAACTTTTGTTCTTGCCGTTATAATGGTTGATCAAGAGTTGAAATCGTCTATAGGCTGAGCCATTTGTTCAATGATCATATTCATAGGTACTTATATAGACGGGAGCTGTAGTGCAGAGTCTAAATGTGGGTGACTATGGCTATAGTAAGCCCGCAGCGAGGCTGTCTGACCCACAAGCCAGCCAATTCAGAGATCCCAGAATCAGGTGTATACGACGCTTACTGTTTAGATATATTTTTCAGTCATGGATGTAATTATTCTGGCATGGTTGATATAAGACTGTGGATATGCTTGCATCTGGTTCTAGAGATTATAGCTGGTGTCGGTTGCGAAAGCCATATTTGTTATTAGAATTGCTCAACACGTACTCATATCTCCTAATCAACAAATACACATCCTTCAAGAATGGCTCGTCCACCACATCACTTTGTCTTCACAAAACCTGAGCATTTCGCGTGCATGACAAAGCATAGAGATGGAGCCTCAATCCATTTGTTGATAGCTAGGTACATGTTGGAATGACCACTCAATCTGTAGAGCTTTTCACTCTGCCAATGTTCCCACGCTCCACCATTGCAATTCCCGCTCATCACTCTCCTGACTACAGGCCACACGGATAGAGATGAATTAAAGGTCTTGATCGAGTGTAGTCCAATGACTATTTGTTGCCGTCATTGTCGAAGCATTTTGCTTGTATGGGGGGCCAGCTTTTGTCTCACGTCCCTGATTTATTTGACTGAATTTTCTTGTCAATTGCATCATGTCAGGAGGAAAATTCCAGACTACTTTACCAAGATCATGCAGACATGAGAGTTCATGTATAAATTCCCAGGCATGAGATATTTGTTGCTATCTTTCTAATGGGTCTTCAGTGTCGGTCGAGTTGCTCAAGTCAGCGTATGTGAAAATATTTCTCATGTGTAGTGATAGATCAATAGGCGGTTTTAAACAGCTATTCCTAAAGGATCATGTTATGTAACCTGTGCGACAGATATGGGTGAAACGTGAGGTGTCGTCAACCGTCACCAGACTCACATGTCAATGCGTTTGTATTGCGAAATCACCCACATGGGACGTTTTCTACTCAGTACGTAGTGATGATTATAAAGAAGTTGGAGAGTGCAGAGAGCACCTAGTCAGAATTTCTCTATCGCTGTTGAAAAGTCTGTTCCCTCAGATGGGCAGAGAATTTCGCGGGCAATGACGATCTTGGTAATCCAGTCAATCATGGCGTGGACCATGGTAACTATCATCAATAGTCTAGAGCATGACTCGAGTGATGCGAAAGCATGAATGCACAAAGACTCTCATCACACATGATACCATTGAAAGCTGAGACAGATAATCTCCCTTTTCTCGGACTCACGGCTGAATGGCAACCCCAAGATTCCAACTTGGGCCTGGATCAGCCCCAAGACGTGACAACCACTAGGGCCGTGAAACTTGTCCCGTATTTTGAGCAATGATATCAAAGCAGCAGAGTATCTGTAGACGCGGAGCCAGCGGATTTATGGTGCTTGGCAAACATCCCATGATTATTCATCTGGCGGCATCTTATCCGCGGGCATCATCTGCAGTTGACAAGAAGATGGTCACAGTCAACCCGCTTTTGAGTGGAAAGGGGGCATGGTCATAAACCAGGAGCTTTGAGTGTTCCGGTTCAGCTTGGCCTCAGCAGGTACGGGGAGGTTGTGTGACAAGCTTGACTTGATCTGGAAGGCAGTCCACAAAGTTGCTCGTACGATCGCGGAGATCGACCAGATTACTGGTTTATTCAAAATAGAGTTTCGAGTTGCCAACTCTGCCATGCCTGGCAAATGAGAAATGAACGATAGCAAAGATACTCGCGATGTTCTAATCGCGAATCTCAACCTCACAATTCTGTAGAGAACATATTCATTGATTAAGTTCCAGCTTAAGATTATCCTATCGAAAATCAAAATTCATGAACACGCACACAACTCTGTAAGGATCCGTCCCTTCCCCATCCATATACCTCTTGTCTTGATCAATGAGAGATACTTTGTACACAGCCACAGATTCAATGGTATTGTCCATGGATAAGATCATCATCTTGTCACTATATTCGATTCCATCAAAACATCCACAACCATTAGTAATGTCATCCAATGCGGCATCTCGAGGCCACGGTAGATTGCGCTAGATACAATCCAGTGCCGTGGACCAGCCCGGTCTGCTAAATGGTATAAAGCAAACCCACTGAAGCGCGGCATTAATGTAATTCGCCAACTTACGCGCCTATAAATGTCTCTTGTCGGGACCGGCCCTACGCACGTCGGCTCATACAAAACTCAAAAGGATAATGTGATGTCTCAATCGTACTTTTGACAGCGAGATGCCGCGTCTCGATAAGGTACACAGGTGGCTTGCATGTGATTCACCCGTTCCGACCTGCTGGGAAAAAAATGATGGAAACATCTCGTCATGTTTTCAAGACGCCATCATTGAAGCATAAACCGTCTGACTTGGGGGTCGCCACAAAAGAGAAAAAAAGGGCCCGGCGCAGAGTGAGAAGCTCAGTCAAGTCCTTTGCGGGTAGCGCTCGGATCACGGCTCGGGTTGCCTCTAATAGCTTAATGGAGTCAGTACCAGCGGATGGGATGATAGACTGGAGCTTAGGCCGAAAGATCATCCGCTGTGGCAATTGCCCACGAAGTCGTGCCTCGAGGTAGAGTCATTGCCATGGCATCATTTGTTTACTTAGGGCATTGAAGGGTCCATTTGTGGATCAGTGGGCATTGAAACACATGAGAAAATTCGAGTCTCACTGAGCGCACGCTCGCTCGCTCCCGTAGTTTTTCGTCGTGTTACGGGTATCGCGCCCAATGCTGCGTCAACGATAACCGCCTCTGGTGGTCTCGTGCCAGTCCGGCGAGCGGTGAGTTGAGGGAATAGCGAATCTGAGCTCCGGTGAAAGATCTAAGACACACATTCAGGCTTTGACGACGGAAGCGGTTAACCAAATGATTTGTTGGAAACGCTTGTACAGTTCAAGCTGGGGAGGTACGTAGGTAGCCACCTAAAGGTATGCGGATATTCAATGCTCTGCCGTGGCCATCATGTGCAGCGCGCACGTCAGAGATATCCAGGATATACCCCCCAACGATGTCCCGTTGTCGCCTGGATTGCTGTGCACCCAGCAATGTTCACGTGTCGCAACTGATGAAGCTGTCGTTGAATAGAGTGGCAGGTTCGTTACTTGGGTGGCTGGACTGACACGTTGGCGGGGGGCGAAACGACAGCCACCCCCGGAATACCTAATCTAGGTACCTCGCTGCTTGTTAGGTATGTAGCAGATGGATCCCTCTGCCGTTGCGGTGGTAGTTTACGGTAGCCCAGCGCTGCGCTGGCAGGCGATCTTTCTCAGCTGTACTAGGAACACAGTTGTAGTGATTCATGCGCGCGGCTCAGCGACAATTGTCGGACAGATTAGGTTGCACTTGGAGATCTGTTATTGGCAAGATCCGGTTCTTTCCCCAAGATCAGGGACAGGAGGCCCGCTGTCGAAGAGGGCAAATTCCGAATAAGGTAAACTGTCGTACATACCTAGCCATAGGTCAGGTAGTACTGGTAGTAGTACCTGATTTTGATGGGGCGAGA